TGTGTCCATTTTTGAGAGTGGGGTGTTAAAATCACCTACTATAATTATGTTGCCATCAGTATCTTTCTGGAAGAGCTCCAAGATTTTCTTTATTCATTTTGGTGCTCCTATGTTGGGTGCATATATATTTACTATGTTTATGTCTTCTTTGGTTCACAAGCCTGCACTCAATCCACTGAGATACACCAGCCAGGGCTTGTTTATGTCTTTTTGATGGACTCCTCCCTTGAATATTATGAAGTGACCTTCTGCGTCTTTCTTTTTTTTTTTTTTTTATTTGGTTACTTTTCAAGTACATTTTTTTTTCCTCTTCCCCCCCCCCCCCGCCCGGTCTCCCCCATCCCTCCCGTTCCCCACCCCCCCAGTCCTCATCTCTGTGTCATTCATACTTGTTTCTCAAAATCCCTCCCCCTTTTTCCCCTTAAGTTCCCTTCCCTCTCCCCCTCTGGTCGCTGCCCATTTGTTCTCTATTTCAGCGTCTTTGTTTTCATTCTGTTTGCTTGTTTGTTTTATTCTTTAGCTTCCTGTCAAAGGTGAGATCATATGGTATTTGTCCTTCAATGCCTGGCCTATTTCACTCAGCATAATGCTTTCCAGTTCCATCCATGTTGTTGCAAAAGGTAGTAGCTCCTTCTTTCTCTCTGCTGCTGCGTCTTTCTTTATGACCCTTTTTTAAGGTCTATTTTGCTCGATATGAGTATTGCTATCCTGGCTTTTTTTCCTGTCCATTTGCTTGGAATATTTATTTTCAGCCTTCACTTTCAGTCTGTGTTGGTCTTTTGTTCTGAGTTTGGTCTTCTGTAAGCAGCATATGTGTGGGTCATGTTTTCTTATCCATTCTAGTATTCTGTGTCTTTCAGTTGGGATATTTAATTCATTTACATTTAAGGTTATTATTGATAGGTACTTATTCATTGCCACTTTTTGTACTCATGTTACTCTCTCTTTCACTGTTTTTCTTCTTATTCTTAAAGCAATCCCTTTAGCATCTTCTGCAGAGCTGGTTTGGAGGAGGCATATTCTTTGAGACTTCTTTTGTCTGGGAAGCTCCTTATTTGGCCTTCCATTTTCACTGAGAGTGTTGCTGGATAAAGTAGTCTTGGTTGCAGGCCTCTGGTTTTTATTACCTGGAATATTTCTTGCCATTCCCTTCTGGCTTGGAGTATTTCCATTGAGAATTCAGCTGCTAGTTTTATCGGGGCTCCCTTGCATGTCACTTTCTGTTTTTCCTTTGCTGCCTTTAAGATTCTCTTTTTGTCTGGGAATTTTTCCATTTTAATTATGATGTGTCTTGAAGTGGGCGTCTTTGGGTTCCTCTTGATTGGGACTCTCTGTGTTTCCTGGATTTGTGTGACTTTTTCTCTCATCAAATTAGGGAAGTTTTCCATCATCACTTTTTTAAACAGGTTTTCTACCCCTTGCCCTTTTTCTTCTCCTTCTCGAATCCCTATTATATGGATAGTATTACATTTCATGTTGTTCTGCATTTCCCTTAATCCCTCTTCATTCTTGAGAATGAAGCCTCTTTTCCTTGCCTCCTTTGTTCTGGGTGTTTTTTTCCACCTTGTCCTCCAGCTTGCTGTTCCAATCCTCTGCTTCATCGAGCCTGCTTTTGATTCCTTCTACTGTGTTCTTCAGTTCAGAAATTGTATTCTTCGTTTCCTCTTGGCCCTTGTTGATAGTTTCTATTTCCCCTTTCCTGTTGCTATAGTTTGCAATGAGTTCATCGTAGTTTCCCTGTAGTTTTTGGTAATTCACTGTGAGCTCATTGAACTTCCTGCTAACCACTGCTTTGAACTCAATATGTGATAGTGGACTTGCCTCTATTTCATTTAGCATTCTTTCTGAGGCTTTCTCCTTTTCTTTCATTTGGGAATTGTTTCTCTGTCTTCCCATTGTTTGTGAGACTCTTCTTGTTAGCCTCTGCTTCCTAAATTATCTTTTCTGACTCCCTGGTTTTATGGTGTGAACTTCTATGGCAGAATACCTGTGAGATTCAGTGGTTCAGTTTCCTTGATCTCTCAAGCTCACTGGTCTTGGACTGTCGTTTAAGTTGGCTCCGTGTTTGTCTTTGGGTTTCCATTGTTGTTAGGTCTTTCTTTGGAGGGTCCTTTTCACCAGCTGGTTAACTGAGGGTCACTCTGTCCACCACCTCTTGTATTCTGTTGTGCAGGTGTGGGCAGGTGTGTTGAAGCTGGTTCTTCCATGTGTACAAGGTTTGGAGGATTCTCTTTTGCTTTTATTCAGTTGTTTGTTCTGGGTAATTTCTCCACTATTTAGTTGTATTTCCAGATAGGTCCTGGATTGAGGCTAGTGTGCCTTCTGCTCCTTCCTTCACCTTTTTCTGTTGTTATCTGTTGGTGGTTCCTTTGTTGTTGGGTTTCCTCTTCCATCAGGTATCCTGGTGTTGACAGCTTCCACCTACTCTTTTTTGTGAGCAGTTGGAGGGGGAAGGCAAAATGGTTTAAGACAGCAAGAGAGTATTCTATGATATTTACAACAGCAGCTAGTAGACAAGAGATAGGAGATCCTTTGGCTATATATAGTGTTAACCGTGATATTCCCCCCAACTAGCCACTTTTTAGAAATGATGGAAAGGAGACAAGTCTTTTATGGTGGGGGTGGGAGGATTATGAGTTGGATCTAGAGAGCAGAGAGCTTGTTGGAGGTCAGATTCTGAGGTAAAGTGAGAGTAAAGGATAGAAAATAGGTTTAGTGTGTAAGAGAATAGAATTAACTACAACATTAATAGAGTTCAGGAAACTATGAAGGGGGCTAAGATGTGGGAGGAGTGTTTTGTAGTATTTCAATAGTATAGAACAGCTATTATTTACAATGATAATAGAGCAACAATCACATGACAGAATCTATGTGATCTGGTTAACCAGAATAGGAAATATAGGACCTAGAGTAGTGTACTCATGGAACACAAGTGAAGAGAGAGGCAATAAATCAACAATACATTATGAAAGAGAGAACCAAGGGAAACCAGTCGAACAATGCGATAACCAGCCAAATGAAGAAGACTAATCTGAAAGATGAGGCATACAAAAACACTAATAAAGTAAAAGATGTAAGAATAATGAAAATAATAATAGAAATATGCAATAACTTGCAAATTCTCTGTAGTAGCCAAGTGAAATTCTTCTCACCTTCTCAGCTGTTGGGATGCCCCCTCTTTGGGTCCAACTCTGGTCTTTTCACAGAGTCTTTTCAGGTCTTTTCCTGAACTCCAGGTGTTTGGGTTGTTTGTTGTTTTTTTTTTTCCTTCTGTGGGTATTATAAAAAGAAAAAGAAGAAGGAAGGAGGAAGAGATAAAAGGGGAAGAAGAGAAGAGAAATAAAACAAGAAAGAAGGAAAGACAGGAAGAAGGAGTTAAGTTTTTTTAAATAATCAAGAATTACTTAAATAAAAAAGCCTCCTGCTGGCTTCAAACTGGCTAAGCCAGTTTTTCTGTTCTTTCTGCCTGCAGCTGGCTGAGGGTTGATTGATTTAGTTTTTCTCTATTCCTGATCTGCAGTTAGTCAGCCTCCAGCCCAGTTCCCCAAGTAGCCTCCCATCCCTCAAGTTCAGGCACACACTCTTCCCAATTTATAGGAGTGTTCCTAGGACCTTCTACACCACCTCCCAAGAACAGCGCTGCTGGGTGGGGAGGAGTCCAAAGTGGCTGCTTCAGGAGAATGTCCTAAACAGTTGCCAAGTGTCTCTTTTTTCACTTTTTCTTTTTGAGAAATTCCTCCTGCTCAAGCCTGCCACTCCATACAGAGGCCTGGCCTCTCACACAGCCCAATTCTCCATCCAAACTAAGGAACATCCGGGTCAGGGCCCATCATGGCCCAACTTTCCTCAGCCTGCATCCACACACTCAGTGAGTACTCACAGCCCCTGTGTGTTTGCCTCTTAGTCCTTATTTCCCTTTCTACAACTTCAAGCAACCAGGTCTCTCCCAGTGCTGCTCAAGCCTTGTTTGGAAGGGGAGGGAGCTGTTAACCCAGCCTTCTCCCAAGAACCCTGTGGCAGACCTGTCAGTGCTGGACCAGGGGCTGCAGCCACTGCACTGGTCCCAGGGACCTTACTGTCCTGAAGCACTCTCCTTCCTGTCTAGTTTTTCAATGTCCTCTACAATTTTTGGTCTTCTATTTTCATACATGCTGGGTATTGTTGGCTGTTCACTCTGTTCCTCAGTAGATCAGCTAGGTGTTTTACCTGTGTGCAGGGGGAAGTGGGCTCCACTCCCACCTACCTCGCCGCCAACTTCCTCAAGTTAATTTTTTTTTATTTTATTTATTTATTTATTTAAATTTTATTTATTTATCTTCAGAGGGGAAGGGAAGGAGAGAGGGAGAGAAACATCAATGTATGGTTGCCTTTCGTGCATCCCCTGCTGGGAAGTGCCCTGCAGGGAACCGGCCTGCAACCCAGGCATGTGCCCTGACTGGGAATCGAACCTCGATTGTCTGGTTCGCAGGCCCGTGCTCAATCCACTGAGCTACACCAGCCAGGGCTTCAATAGTTAATTTTTTAAGTTACCTAGAGAAAGAAGCAGTGATAACTGTTCAAGGAGATTCATTAGGAAAGACTCCAAAAGAAGCGTTTCTGTCTGAGTTGAGTTTTGAAGGATGAGTAGGAATCTTCTAGGGCACAGAGACATTTCTTGGTAGAGGAAACTGTAGGGGTAAAGATCTTGAGACTTAGCTTGTTTGAAGGATTTCAAGTGTTTCTTAGTGCAGGCAGCCATGGGGTCGAGGACAGGTTAGAGATTTAAGGCCAATGCTTTACCTGAGTTTCTGTAACCTTTGGGCATACTGATAAAATGAAGTGAGTTGTTCACTGATTACTCACAGAACATGAACTCAAGGGTGGTCAAAGTGGGAGTTTCCATGAGGCTTTGCCAAATATTAAGTTGAGAGGTCACCTGAAGTTTGAGCACAGATGGCATTTCTACTGGGTCAGATCTGGTCCCACCCCCTCTCCCACTATATAAATAGCCAGTCTCATTGAATATCCACTGGGTGGGAAGGGAAATTTCTCACACACAGGCCTGCTGAGAAGAGCACACGGTGCTGCAAGGAAAATTCAGAGGAGAGAATCTCGGGAGGAAAGTGGCCATGGACCTGATCCCAAGCTTTTCCACAGAAACCTGGGTTCTCCTGGCTACCAGCCTGGTGCTCATCTATCTGTGAGTAAACTGTCCAGGCTCATGTCCTCTGTAATCTTGGACTCGGGGAGCTCATCAGGTCCCCCTTTCCCTTCTCTGTTTTAAATATCCAACAGTCAATAAAGGAAAAGTTGTTTAAATTTGGGGGTCTACAAACACCAAAGGGGTTATTATTGATCTGACTTTGATCTTTTGAGGAGTAATATCCCATCTGCCCCCAACTCCCAATTTCTGTAGCCCACATGCTTTGGTGAAATTATTTGCTCCTAGGGTGATTCCAGACCTAGTCTGAATGACCCTAGGAGTTCAGCAGAGGCAGATCAAAAACAATGGGCTTCTGGGCCCTGGCTGGTGTAGCTCAGTGGATTGAGTGTGGGCTATGTATGGGGTGCTGGACACTGCCCCTTCTCTTCACACTAGCTCTTCCCTTTATTCAGTGTCTCTCTCCTGACACTCTCCTCCTAACACTCAGTTCCATCACCCTATAATAGGCAGAACTATTGAAGTATTCTCCCTTCATGAGAAACTAGAGCAGAAGAAAGTTGCAGCAATTTTGACATTGTATTCTTTTATTTCATCTTCATCTTCTAGTCTTCACAGAGGGTTAGCATTATTATAGAGATTTATTTTCCTCCTGACATGAAATCTTCTAACAGCCTGTAAAGGCACAAACCCACAAGCCAATGTGCATTTAAATATTTTTTCCAGTAAGTTGCAGTACAGGAGGATAAACCAAGCCATCTAGCAGAGGAATTCCTTTCAAGAGTGGGATTCCTGCCATCACGTAGCAGGTTGGGATAGGAGGTATTTTGGACATGTGGGTAGGGAAGGCCCCCTCCATGTCCTGTGTGACTTCTATCTTAATCTCACTTTCATGAAGAGTAGGCATCATGATGACTTGAATATAGAAAATATAAACATTATTTTAATTAATTGAAAGAAATGTTATGAATACAGCATATCAGGGCAATATAGTTTCCGTCTGATGACATTTTAGAATAACTTGATAGTGTTAAATTTTATTCTATTTAATATTAGATTTTTTTTACTGACATAAGACTATTTCTGGCATGTCCTTTCTGTAGAATAAAAGAGGCTATTGGTACAAGATTTGTGACTACAAAGGTGTGTAAGTAACCTCACCCAACTAGAATAATATCTGAAATATGAGTCCATTGTACAAATACATACATGCATGACATAGATTGTATATATATATGCATAACTGGTTATTTTAATCTCATAGTGCAGGTAAGTGAGATTGTGAGGCAGTGAGGGTAAGCGAGGCCTTCTGGAAGGAGTAGGAGGATATTTCTCCCAGAAACCCTGGTTTCACAGGACAGCAGGGTAGGCATCTCTTCTGCCTGACCCTGGGGAGAGGGACACCATCTAAGTCACACTGTGTGGTCTGTGTGGCAGTGGGCCTATCACTAGATGCTTTCACCACTGGATAAACAAATTTGGTGCCTTAGGAGACACTGGTACAGTTGTGAGTCATTGCTGTAGCTAGACCATGCCCTCTTATGGCAACACAATGTAAGTGCAATAGAAATGACTGGCTTTACCAAAAGCAGCATTGCTCTACCAAAAAGGGGAAGTTGTAAAGAAGCCATGGAATTCACACAGCCCATCCTCTGCCTTGCTATGGATCATATGAGTTTAGACACCAGACCAGGTCCCTCGAGGGATGAACATTGCTGATGCATTCACTCAAGTGCTGAAGTTCAGAAGCAGAAATGGGTTTAATTGATTTGCCGTGGTTGTCATGGCCAAGGAAGAACGGGGTTGGGACCATCCAAAGGTACCCCAGGTTTCAACAGTCAGTGCACATAACTTCACCAAGTTTCTGGAGGAAGGATCCACACACCCACCTGGGCCCAGCTCAGGCTCCTCTGCTGTCCTTGAGCATGAGTTCTTTTACACATTATTTTACCATTTCCATCACTTATTATAAGATTATTCATACTGCATAGAATGTTAGAAACCTATACTTTCTTAAAGGGAAACCTCTAAAGAAGAGGGGACAAAGTTTTAATTCAGCTTTCTGAAACATATTTTATGTTGTATAGCACATTTTCTGCAATAAACAGAAAGGTGCAGAAGTCTGAAAGGCCCCTTTAGCAGAAAGTGCTGGTAGGGCATGCTGAACGGTTATACAGAGCCTCCTCATCAGCCATACTTTTCTAATTTGCCTCTGTGGGGTGAGTCTTGTAGGCCCAGCAACTTCACCCTTAAAATGGTTGCCAGCGGCCTATTTCCTCAGCCTCTCCTTGCCCTCCACTCTTCCATCTCTCAGTGACACTGGAATGGAAAAACTTGCAAGCATTTAGAACCCCCAGAACACCACACATGACACAGGAAAGATGAGTCACAGGCAGGCCTACCATGGGAAGCAGTAGCCTTAATGGGATTTCAAGATAGCTGACACACAGAAGCAGTAAACAAACCAATTTCTGACTGGCCACCTTGAAAAAATTAGCAAACCTGGTACTGTGCTTAGCAGGTGAGCATCACAGGCTAGAGGACCAGATACCTCGAGGGGAAAAATGGTCTGGAAATAGATCTTTAGTCATTGGTATCTTTATTCAGTTTCATTCAAGAAACACATGAGTCAGTCACCCTTCTCTAGAGCTCAAGTCAATCAAATTGCCTCACGACAGAGACTTGGGTGTAGCTGACAGGCAACCACGTTTCTACAAGGCCAGGGGAACCTTTGAGCACAGTTTTCATTCTGTGGGTAAGACCACTGTAGCTATTATAAGACCTTCCTATGGTGATATACGAGTATTTAAGAAAAGCCAAATCTTAAAACAGAGTCATGGCACAGAGGGAAGTAAAGCCTAAAAGTCACTGAACAAACTGTAAGGACACTGTCTCGGTAGGCTCACAGTAACTCCCTGCTACTGAGTGGGTGCAGTTAAGCAAAATCTTGTCATTGGAGCAGAATTTATTTTGTGTGTGTACACAGAATAGAATCTCAAAGTCATTGAAGAGTCAATTTGCTTAAAAAATGACTGAATTTTCTAGAAATATTTCAGCCTCTCAGGAGTATTCCCAATGGAAACATTTAACAAGTAATCACTCATATTGGGTCCATGAAACTTCGGCCACTTTTTTCTAATTGTTACTTTTTGCGTGTCTCACAGTAGAAATGGGAAAAGAGGTGAGAAGAGAATGTAATTATTGCTGTTGGAGTTGCTGTTATTATTGATGGATTACATGTTCATTCCCTAGCTTGACTGGTCCAGTTGTGAGTCAGTGAATGGCCACACTCTGTGCCTGTTCCATTAACCCCATAACATGTTTTTCTCCTTCACTTTAAAGATATGGGACCCATACACATGGAATTTTTAAGAAGCTGGGAATTCCTGGGCCGACACCCCTCCCGTTTGTGGGAACCGTTCTGGGCTATCGTAGGGTGAGTGTTGTTGGGATTCTTCTTTTGCTTCTTATGATTACAAATAGCAGCTGAGTTCCATAGCAAAAGGGCTGTCCTCAAGGGGAAGTTCAGTGGTTTCACGCTTTTCAGAAAGGGCAGCTTAGGCACCACCCAGCCCATCACCAGGTTTACCCAGGGCTCTATGTCAGCTGTTCAGAGCCTCACATTTTGTCTTGGTTGGGCAGCAGAGCTCTCTGGCTGATTCAGGACATGATTTAATATTCCAACTTGTGTGCATCCAGAGGAGGATTTTCCTTCTGCCAGGTGCAGGTTCCCAGGAAGATATAATCATGCTGAGTATTAGGACAAATGCATGAAGAGGTGCCTGGTAGTGCCTCATGAGGTTGACTATGCCAGAGTCAGACGTTCCTGTTCCTAGGATATGTTCTGGGTAGCCTTTTTTTCCTTCTTCCTCCTGGACAGCTGTGAAACTTCAGTGTATGAGGCAGCCCAAGTATTCACCACTGGGTAATTTGCACATGTTTGTCTCTTCAACCTCTAAAAGAGTCTTGTGGGGTTTTAAAAAAAAAGCACAGTTACTTATATAAAGTCATTATAGAGAAGATGATTTGACAAAGTTATTAGATTTTTTTAGTTTATCTGGATAGAATGAACACAGTGGCACATGGACTGTGAATTTTGGTAAAACCTTCATGGTTGATTCAGTCCTGATCCTTTGCCCAGGGCCCAACCCTTGAACGGAGAGCTAAGAGCTTCCTTAGGCCAGCAGGCAGAGCCTGTGTGCAGGTTGCTCTGTGCCTCAGATTTTCTTTCCCTCAAGGGAGAGGCTTGATTCTCAGATTCTGATTCTCCCAGCTGGGATCTCACTGCCTCTTAGTCTAAGACCTTCCCATAGTTTTTTGCCTCCGACAAGGCAATATTTTCCTCTCTACCATTCCCAGTCAACTCCTTACAGATGCACTCCAGGGCCCACATTTCTGGAACTTCTTTTGTATAGTTAAAATATCAAATTTCACAACTAAAACTTAGCAATAGCAAGATGTGTTCTTTTTTAATTACAGAATTTAAAACTCAAAGAAAGCATTTTAATGTGCTCTGTCCTTGTGCAGTGCTGGCATTTCCCCATCTTTTCCACGTTGATCCATAAAACTGGAAAGCAAGTACTTTCTCATTCATTCATTCACTCACATACTTACTCAATGTACATGCCTGAGACTTATGTAAATCTATTAGACTTCAAGAGGTCACTGGTGATAAAGTTCCTCATTCTGCTAGAATTCAGAAAGGTCAATGAGAGAAATAAAAAGATGCTGCACCAGGAGATCAAAGAGTGTGCAGGCCACTCTTACTCTCCCTCAGCTTCAGTCCAGGAGTCTATGGAGGTAATAATTCTGGGGGTTATGGGGTTTGAGAGATAATACATGCACAACAAAGCCCTTCTGAAAGACAGGAGTTACTTAGTATCAAACACAAGGGTAAGTCAAGTATCAACACTACTTGGAGAAAATTCAAGAGTGATTTTAAATTCCCCACTGCAAATATCTCCTCTATTTCCTCTCTGTTTCCCAAGACACTGCTGAATAAGAGCTTCCCTCTATCAGTGTGAAACACAGAAACACAGTCCATCTGAGTTCATGGGATTCAAGTCATTTTGGTTCCAGTGAGAGGTAGAGGCCAGTACATTCAGATCAATAATCTGATTTTGTTTCTCCTTGCAGGGTTTTGTGGAATTTGACCAGGAATGTTTTAAAAAGTATGGAAGAATGTGGGGGTGAGTACTGGGGAAACTCCCAGTGGATTTACTTGCTGTTATGATGAGGGTCCCATGGTGTGGAGGACAGTCTCAGCCCAGAGCCTCTCAGGATGAAGCACCTGTGGTAAAGGTTTTGGAGGCTTGTCCTACCAGGGATCCCAGATGTCGCCAGGTGTCCAGGTCTGCATTCTGAATTGAGTTGGAGAGTTGCAGGTTGTTGTTACTCTCCAGACTTCAGTGGCCTAGGGACTCCTGGCATCACCTTCTGTCCAGTCTCATCATGCCCCTCTTCTCCATTTTTCCTCCCTTAGGTCTCCTTCCATTGGGTAAAATGCATTATTTCAGGCTCTTCCAATATAGGCTCATAAATGCCTATTACAACTCCTTCCCACATGATTGACTATTAATTAAAAGCCAAAGTCCTTCATTTTAAATTTGGATTTGTTATGTCATTAGGAAAAGGCTGTGGGTATAGGTAAATGGAAAGGGAAACCATATCTGCTCAGCTTTTTAAAATTTCTCTGAAAATATGGAGTTTGGGTTTTTAAAAAGATTTAAAGCAACCCTTCTCAATAGAAGTTTAGTTTATACAAGTATTGATTGCTTTATGTACTCTGTTCTACTACCTTTGAAGAGATGTAGGATATTTCTAAACCACACTGCTCCCTGGTGGGCTGATGGACCTAAGGACTTTGTAAAGTGGCCTCAGGCAGTTGCAGGGGCTGTTCCTGTTGGGAGCTGCTGGAGGGGTGGTGGGTGCAGCAGGAGAGGGCTTGCCCTGCTGCTGGCAGATGTAGCCTGCTTGGAGCCCAGGGCCAGTTATGACCCACATGTAGAATAAATATAAGTAATGAAAGGAAAATATTTGTAAATGAATCATACATGCTTCTCTGTGTTTTTTATTCTCTTTGTTGTTTGTTTCAAATATTTCTAAACTGGATTCTACCAAGGGCCTCTCTTTAGCAGTTAAAATATTTCCTTTAAGCAATTATAAACTAGTAATCGAATTTTAGAAAAAGAGCATAGAAATCATTCATATTTCTGCCATATCTTTTTGAGCATTCCAAGTCTTTTTTATTTGCAGACTCATTTTTACATGTTTGTGATCAGTACGCCTACATTTTTCACCTAATATTCTGTCATTTGCATTTTTATGTTTTTGATTATCTTCAAAAGTGTATCTCTTCCTTTTTATTGTTTATGGTATTTTTTCCATTACCAAAAGTGTATTTTTAAGGGACTGAGTACCTACCCAGGCTCTCCTTATTATTTTTATGTTCTCAGATTATTTACTTGCCTTCATCTATTTACTAACTTAACTTTCTTTTTGATAGTGAAATATTTTAAGCATAAAAAATTCTAAGAATGGTATACAAAACACCCAGGTACATGACCTAGGTTTAAATGTTCTCATGCTATTTCCAACAATGATCACATAAATATGGGTTATGTCACATCAGAATGAAAGCCTGGACTTCCAGACGTGGCTCCAGCTGCAGAAGCTGGCTTGTTAAACTGAATGAGCTCTGTTTTCCGGACACAGGTTCTATGATGGCCGACAGCCTGTGTTGGCTATCACTGACCCAGACCTGATCAAAGCAGTCCTTGTGAAGGAATGCAACTCTGTCTTCACAAACCGGCGGGTAAGTGTCCATTTTTGTTTAAATTAAAGTTTTATTTATTTAATTTTTAATTTTAATATTGAAATAATACCAGATTAATTGGAAGTTACAAAAGAATTCAGGAATATTCTATACCTGTTATTTTGTTTTCTGAGATAGTAATATCTTTTACTCGTATAACTACAGTACAATATCGAAGTAGGAAATTGACTTTGGTGCTATATTTACAGAGCTTATTTAGATTTCATCAGTTTTATGTGCACTCATTTGTGTGTGCGTTATTTATAAAAATTTATCGTATATGAATACTTGTGTAACTATCATCACAATCAGTATACAGAACTGTTCCACCACCATAGTCTCCCTCTTCATATTCTTCTATGGTTACAATGTGTAGCTTGTCTTTTCCTCTTCTCAGGGTCTTTAGCAGAGCAAATATATTTTTACTATTGATGAAGCCAATTTATTCATTTTAAATAGGTTGTATCTTTTTTTTTTTTAAGATTTTATTTATTTATCTTTAGAGGGGAAGGGAAGGAGAGAGGGAGAGAAACATCAATGTATGGTTGCCTTTCATACATCCCCTGCTGGGAACTGGCCTGCAGGGAACCGGCCTGCAACCCCAGTATGTGCCCTGACTGGGAATCGAACCACTATTGTCTGGTTCGCAGGCCCGTGCTCAATCCACTGAGCTACACCAGCCAGGGCGAGGTTGTATCTTTAAAAAAAAAAAACATTTTATTAAGGGCAATCTTAGCTGGAGGTTCCAGCTTTTCATGACTTTGAATATTCCTTGCCAATCCCTTGTTGCCTGCGAAGTTTCTTTTGAGAAATCAGCTGACAGCCTTACGGGAACTCCCCTGTAGGTAGCTATTGCTTTTCTCTTGTTGCTTTTAAGATTCTCTCTTTATCTTTAACTTTTGGCATATTCACAATGTGTCTTGGTGTAGACCTGTTTGCGTCCATCTTGTTAGAGACTCTCAGTGCTTCCAGGACTTGCATGTCTATTTCCTTCACCAAATTAGGGAAGTTTTCTTTCATTAGTTTTTCACTTCCATTGTTTTAGGCTTCCAATTTCCCACTCTTTTTATCTTCTCCTTCTGGCACCCTTAACATGCAAATGTTGGTTTGCTTGAAGTGGTCCCACAGGCTCCTTGCACTCATTTTTTTTATTCTTTTTTCTTCTTGTTGTTCTACTTGGCTGTTTTTTTGTTTCCTTGTGTTTCATATCATTATTTTAATTCTTGGCTTCAACCACTCTACTGTTGATTCCCTGTAAATTGTTGATTTCCATTAGTATTTCCTTCATTTCTGCCTGGCTCTTTTTTAACTGTTGAAATCCTCACTGAGTTCTTTTAGCATCCTTTTAACCAGTGTTGTGAATTCTGCTTCTGATATATTGCTTGTTTTCATTTTGTTTAGGTCTTTTTCTGGAGTTTTGATCCGTTCTTTCATTTGGGTCACATCTCTTTGTCTCCTCATTTGGCAACCTCTCTGTGTTTGTTTCTGCATATTAGGAAGAGCTTCTACAACTCCCTGTCTTGGTAGCATGAGCTGTAGGTCCAGTGGCACTGCCGCCCCATCACCCAAGCTGGGTACTTGAGGTGTGCCATTCATGTGGGTTGAGTACACACTCCCCTTGTAGTTGAGCCTCGATTGCTGTTGTCAGGCCAATGGTAGAAATGTAGTCAGGCCAGCCAGCTGCAAGGATTGGCTGTGACCACTGACCACCAATCTCCACCCTCTGTGGAAGATTATATGTGCAGGAATGGGGTGGTGGTGCTCAGCATTGTCTGTAGCTGTCGCTGAGTAAGCAGGCTCTGGGGTTTCCAGGGTGGTGCAGGGAAGAGTCAGCCCCTACCTGTGTTCCACCTGGGGCCATGTGTGAGCTACAAAGTAATCTGCAGCTGTCTGCTACTTGTGCTGGGCTTGGAGATCCCCAGGCAAAGCCAAACTGTGATCCAAAGCTGGCAGCTGCCAGTGCTGCGCTAGGGCCACTTAGCAGAGGTAGGGGTCTGGGGTCAGGCCCGTAAGTTGGGTAGGGTGGAGCCTCAGGTAAATGCCAAGACAGGGCAAACAGTGTAAGCCAAGTTGATAGAGCCTCATATATGGCTCTCACCTGCTGAAGCTGTGGCTCTGTGCAGGGAGGGCTCAGAAAAGGCACAATGGCCTTGCCCTGTCTTTCTATCTGGTAGAGAGCTGTTCCCCAACTCTCTCCCTGACACTTCAGTTCCTCTCCTTATGCTACTGTTGCATTTCAAGCTGGTACCCCAGTGGTTCTAGAGCTCAGAGGAAGTACATCTGTGTAAGTTCAGCAGGGGCCCTTTAAATGCAACTACTAGGGAGTATAGTAGTTGTTTTTTGTTTGTTTGTTTTTTATCAACTCCAATCCCACTGGTTTTTACAGCCAAAAGTTATGGAGGCTTATCTTTCTGGCACTTGTACTCTGGGCTGGAGGGTCTACTGTGGGTTTAGACCCCTTGCTCCCACGATATCCCACTTGAGTTCTTATTTACCACACGTGGGTGCGGGACTCACTCGTTCCAGGCGTCTGAGTCTCCTACACTTCTGGATTGATGTGATTTCTTTAGTCCCATAGTTTTTGGATTTCCATTCAACTCGACTTCTGAGAGATGATTGGTCTACAGTTTAGTTGTAATTTTATTGTGGTTGTGTGAGGAGGCCAGCCATGTTCAGGTTGTGCCTTTAGTTCCAATTCTGAAAACTCTTCATTTAGCCCTAAGGATCAAAGATTTCCTTCTATTTCCCTAAATGTTATATAGGTTTATGTTTTACATTTAAATCTATAATCAATTTTGTTCTAATATTTGTATAAGGTATGAAATGTCGGTCAAGGTTCTTATTTCCTGTGAATGGATGTCTGATTGCTGCAGCAACATTTGTGAAAAGGCTATCCTTCCTCCTTGAACAGCTTTTGAACTATTTCAAAAATTAACTGAGCCTAGATGTGTGCATGTATTTCTCATCCTCTTCTGTTCACTGATCTATGTATCTGTCCTCCAGCAGTACCACGGCAGTCTTGATTACCATAGCTACATGGTCATTCTTAACATCTAGAATGACTCCTTCCACTTTTTTTTTTCAGAATTGTTTTAGCTATTCTATGTCTTTTACATCTCCATACAAATTTATAATAAGCTTATCTGTGTTATAAAAATTGCTGAGATTTTGATAAGAATTGAAAATAATCATATAGATCAATTTGGAGAAAATCTATAATTGTTACCAGGTCAAGTCTTTCAATCCACAAGCACAGTAAGTCTTCATATTTATTCAGGCTTTCTTCTGTCCCTTTCACCAATATTTTGTAGTTCTCAGCATAGAAATCCTATACATGTTTTGCTAAATTTTTCACTTAAAGTATTTTATTTTCTTTGGAGTGATAATAAATGGTATTATATTTTTAAATACTCATTGTTATTCCATTAAAATGTGGTTGAGTTTTGTTTGTTTCTTATGTATTCTACAACCTTGCTGGGCTCATTTATTAGTTCTAGAGTTTTCTTTTAATATTCCTTAAGATTTTTCAGATTGACAGTTATGTCACCTGAAAACAGAGACACTTTATTTTTCCCTTTTCATTCTAGTATGCCTTTTACTTCTTTTTGTCTTCCTGCACTACCTAGAACTTCCAGTATGATATTATATAAGAGTGGCATGAGTGAACATTTTTGTTCCAAATCTTAGGAAAAAGCATTCTGGTTTTTGCCACTTTTAATTTATATATTTATTCACAACAAATAAAATGTATATACTTAAGGTATGCAGTGTGATATTTTGATATATTGTAAGATGATTACCACAAACGAATTAACATATTCACCAGTGTGTGATAAGAACACTTAACATCTACTGTCTCAGCGAATTTCAAGTATACAATATAATCAATTAAAGTCACCATGTTGTACATTAGGTCTCCAGCACTTATTTATCTTGAATTTAAACTGAGTTTATAGTCTTTGATTGATATCTTTCTTCCACACTCTCATGTTCTTATAGCCCTCATTTTGTCCTGTTTTACTTGGGCTGACTTTTAAAATTCCATATACAAGTGCAATCATACAATATATATCCTTCTCTGCCTGGTGTAATTCACTTAGAATGTTGTCCTCTAGGTTCATGCATGTTATTGTGAATGGCAGGATTTGTTTCCTTGATTCTTCATGAACCAGTGGCCTTCATTAGTGTCTGTGTATTTGAAGAAGCCATCAACTCTTCCAAACTTTATGAAATAACTTAAATAAGGAAAGAAATTTACTTGTGATTTGGGACATACTGGAGTGTTCTTTGGCCCTCAGTGCTAATGTGACTCCAGAACAAGAGAGCATGGTTGGCTTAGGCAGTTGGAATTCACAACATCATCAACTGCATGATCCTTGGCAGCATGAACTATTGAGGTTCCATTTTAGCTACAAGGGATGTTGGGGGTTCTTCAACAGCATCAACAGGGCCACTGGCAAGGAACTCAGTCAGGCAGTAATAGTGGCCAAAGTGGCTGGTGTGAAACACTTATTAGTGGGGAATAACTGCAGGCATATACCCAATGGTAAGTGCCAGGACCAGTGGCAGGAACCAGGGCCAACTGTGGGCATAGAATTTGCTTAGAGTGTTTGGGCCATTAGTGTGCACTGACATGTGGCATGAGCAGGTTGCAGGCACATGCACTGCAGTGACTAGAGTTGTGGCAGGCAATGCACAGGCATGCAGCTGCAAAGGTTAGTTGTGGGCAAATGTGGTTTAGTCCACTGACAGGAGTCAGAGTTAACATCAGGTCTCTGAACAACTGACTGCAGGTATTATACACATGCACAGCCACATACACCAGGGCTGGCTGCTGGAGTGGATCCCATGACTTGGGGTGGTAGCACAACTTGGGGCAGCTCTGGTGGGTGTGGAGGCTTTTATAATCAGCAAATGTGAAAACCTGTGGAGCTATCAGTACCAACATTGGCAGGGTATTCACAGTGGCTGTGCTGGCAATTGATTTCCTCAGCAGCAAAGTCTGTTAGGGTCTTCTCCAGACCACGACATGAAAAGCTTCTTGAGTTAACTACTGAACTCTCCTAGGCCTATTTTTGTTTGTGAATAGATGTCTAATTGTTCTTTGCGGGGCAACAGACACTGGAGTCTCTAACTCTGCCATCTTGCTGATGTTACTCCAGGCTTTCATTTTTAAGTGGGATGTTAGGTGTACATTTTTTGTTTATGCTCTTTATTGAGAAAATTTCACTCTATTCCTAGTTGGTGAGTTTTTATCAGAATGTGTACTGGAGATGTTCTTTTTAAAACAAAATACAGTGTTAAAAGTGAGAAGAAAGTCTCCAGCAGGTTGGCTTGATAGGCCAGTCTCAACCTGAGAAATAGATTTACCTCTTTCTTTTTTTTCTTCTATCCCTGATGGGAAAATGTAAAAGAAAAGGATTTCCCTGTTATTGTATCTTTTTTAAGGAATAGCAAATAGATTCCTAATTTTTTAAGTATTAACTACATTTTTTAATCACCATGTTAAGACTTTTTTTTTCAAGTTGCTCATGCTATAGATATAAGTAAAGATAAAAGTAGTTTGAAACAACATACAGTTTATCAAGGCTGTCTGGATATCAGTCAAGAATCCCTGGAGGAGGTAGTAGGTCTTGTTCCTATCTGTTCCCCTGAAATAGCAGTTTGCCAAACATATTTGCCTCAAAGAATAGATTGGAATAAGTATTAGAAAACACACTGGGTGGCTTGTTATCTCCTCCACCTTCACAGGATACCAGACGTTTAGGATAAGTATTTATTGAGTATCTAGCATAAGGCCGGATACTAAGTAGACAGTCACTAAATATTTGTTGAATAATTGATGCCCATTTAATGATTTTCTACAACCATAGAGAGCTCTAAAACATATGTAGGGGGAAATGTCTTTTGCTTTCAATTCCAGGCTCTTGGTCCAGTGGGATTTATGAAAAGTGCCATCTCTTTGGCTAAGGATGAAAACTGGAAGAGAATACGAGCATTGCTGTCTCCAACCTTCACTAGTGGAAAGCTCAAGGAGGTAAGTGTATAAGAGGACATTTAATTTGAAACTTAAAGAATGTGTCTGGAGACAAGTAGAAAATAAGATAATTTCTTTCTAAGGGTAACCTACTGAATTTGAGCTCCCTTAAAAAAAAGGTCTTTTATCTTTATGTCCTAGAAATGACAATAAGATTCATTATAAAATATCCCTTACTGCTCCATGCTTGTGAAAGCCAGGTCCTTCTGGGACTTGGCTCTTCACATTTAACTCCAAGTGGTGTTATTTTTTGTGTCTAGATGTTCCCCATCATTAACCAGTATGGAGATATGATGGTGAGGAATCTGAGGAAGGAAGCAGAGAAAGGCAAACCCATCAACTTGAAAAAGTGAGTAGGAGCCCAGATGCTGGGATTCTGAGCTTTTCCCTGAGACCCTCCAGCTGCTTTCCACAGAACCGAAATTCCCACTGCTGAGTTACTCTATGACCAAATAGAAGTAGGTGTGTGGTGTTAGAACTACAGTGGGCTACCCGAGAAGATGTGGCTCACCCAAGCAGGGCAGCCAGGAGGGAAATGCCTTCCCTTGTGTATGTGAACCAGGATTAGTGTGTCTGCTTGATTGTCACTGTGTATATTCTGGAAGACAAAGATACATGGTTCAGAGAGAAGAAACATGATTATATCAAAGGGTCCAGTGTAGAGGGTGTGAAATAGTAGTACCAGGGGAAGATACTGGTGCCTATTGGTGGGCAGTGGGTGGGGCAGGGAAGTTACAATGTGGAACTTGGAACAACTTAAACCCCTTCATGAGTTTGGTAAGGACACCAGCAAAATACTAAATATTAAATTTTACCACCACTTCTTTCTTTAATCTAAAAGATAGAAGGTCCTGTACAGACTATGGGGTAGGGTGGCCATATTATTTATTGTCTAAAGTAAGACTTTAAAAAAATTATGTAGGAACAACTGATGTAAACTGGAACTAAGCTGGGATAACTGGGAATGTATGTATGCTCACTTACCTATGGGATTTCCCCAAATCAATTTTGGAGTGATTTTTTATTATTTTTTAAACCAGAAACAATCCTCCTTTTATCTAAAATGGTATTTTCATATAAAAATATTTTACTAGATATAAATTGTTAACTAGATTGAAAAAGGAGTAAAACATACAGACAAAAATGAAGAAATAACTGCCTTTTGAGTTTCTTACACAGTAGGATGGGGAGAAAATGGACATTTTCTAAGCAATAGCTTCATATCACTGTACTGATTTGTTCCAGTAAAGACATTCCATCTGAAGCATAACTTCAACTGAGATTAATATCTAGATTACAGTAAGTCACAGATATTATCTAAGATTCATCTGCCTTCTAAACCAGGAACATTCTTAGTTCTTGTATTTCACAGAAATGAGTCCGCCCTAAGGGCAACCTCAGATCACTGGAGTTCAGGAGAGTAGGTATTTCTAGAGCTTTAGCAAGAGTGTAGAGAAGCAGAGATGACATTCCTGGCAACTCAGACCAGGGTGCTGCTCTTCTGTAATGTGCCGAAGAGGAATCAGCTGAGTACAGATACTTGGATGGGGCAAGACCTAGGTCAATGTCACCTTTTTTGCTTCCACTAGGAAGAGCTCATTATCTACATTCTGTCCTACTCAAACACAGAACAACTGCTATTGTCCAGACTCAAAACATACTATTGTAGTTTGTCTGATTGTGGGTCTCCATCCCTCTGACTAATCTCCCTGTGCTCACAGGTGGGTCTAACTTTCCTTGGTATCCCCATAACCCCAGCACATGGTTAGCTGCATTACTGACACTTGATAAGTACCTCATGATTGAGTGTGACAGGAGCATAGATTTTCAGGTGATCCAGTTGATGGTTTTGACAGTTGTGTGGCTCTTTACCTGTCTTTCCTGAGTATATGAATTTACATGCCCTGCTTGTTGTATGTGTTGGATAAGGCTTAAAGAGTTGCTGATTTTAATTTTTCATATCTTTGTTTCTCTGCTCAGCATCTTTGGGGCCTACAGCATGGATGTGATTACTAGCACATCATTTGGAGTGAACATCGATTCCCTCAACAACCCACAAGATCCTTTCGTGGAAAAAACCCAGAAGCTCTTAAGATTTAATTTCCTTGATCCATTCTTTCTCTCCATATGTACGTAGACTATTATATTTCTTTTTCTTTCTTCCACCTCTCCTGTCCTCTTCTCTCTCTCTCTGTGTCTCTCTCCCCACCTCTTTCTATAAAAGCTTTTTTGAGATATAATTTATATATTGTATCATTTATTCATTTAAAGATGGACAGTTCTATCAATTTTACAACCTAGTATCTGTCAACAGATAAATGAATAAAAATATAGCATAGGTATGATAGGTATGATAGATAGATGATAAATAGATAGATAGATAGATAGATAGATAGATAGATAGATAGATAGATAGATAGAATGGATATTATTCAGCCATAAAAAAGAAGGAAACCCTGCCATTTGTGACAACATAGGTGGACCTTGAGGGCACTGCGCTAAGTGAAGTAAGTCAGCAAGAGAAAGACAAATGCTATAGGCTCTCACTTATATGTAGAATCTAAAAAAATACTTATACTCATAGAAAAAAATAAATGATTTGTAATTGTCACAAGCAGAGGTTGAGGGTGGGGGAATTAGACAAAGGTGGTCAAAAGGTACAAACTTTCAGTTATAAGATATACAAGAGTGTAGATTCTTAAAGTTCTCATCACATGGAAAGAAAAATAATTTTTAACTATGTGAGGTGATTTTTAATAACTGGACTTATTATGATAAATATTCTGCAATATATGTAGAAAAAGCCATTGTGATGTACACCTATACAGTACTGCTTATCAATTACAATTCAATGAAACTGGAAAAAAAGGTTTTTAGTAAATTCAAAGTTATGTGTAGCCATCATATTAATTATTAGAACATTTTTGTCAATTTAGATATATGATACTTTTTTACTTTAACATCTCAATCTCATTAGCCTAAACAATCTGTGATCAACTTTCTGTCTCTATAGATTTGCCTGTGCTGGACACTTAATATAAAGAGAATCATATATGTGGGTTTTTGTGTCTGGCTTTTTAAAATTTAACATAATGTTTTCAAGGTTCATCCATGTTGTAGCATGTATCAGCACTTTATATTTTATTATGGGCAAATAATATTCCACTGTATGAACATTCTGCATTAGGTTTATTCATTAATCAGCTGAGAGACATTGGGTTGTCTCTCTCTACCTTTCAGCTATTGTGAATAATGCTGCTATAAACATTCTGTACAGGGGCTTTTTGTTTGTTTGTTTTTACCAACCTGTTTCAATTCTTTTGGGTTTCTTTTGGTTTCAGTTCTTCCACTCTAGGGTGGAATTGCTAAATCCTATATTAATTTGTTTTTAACTTACTAAGGAACTGCTAAACTTTATTCTACAATAACTACACTACCAGTAACAAATGAAGGTTCCAGTTCTTCCACATCCTCACCGACCCTTTGTTGACATTTTTCTATCTTTTTTATTATGGCTATTCTAGTACATATGACATTGTATCTCATTGTCAGGTTTTGACTTGCATTTCCCTAATGACTAATGATGTTGAGCAACTTTGTATATGTTTGTTGGCCATCTTCGTATCTTCTTTAGATAAATTTCTATTCAAATCTTTTGCCCATTTATAGTTAGGTTGTTTGTCTTTTTGTTGTTGAGTTGTAAGAATTCTTTACATATTCTAGGTAAAAATTCCTTATTAGATATATGAGCTGAGAATTTTTCTCCCATTCTGTAGCTATCTTTCATTTTTCTTGATAGAATCCTTTGAAGCACACAATTTTTTTCAATGTTCTACAATTTGTGTATTTTTTCTTTTATTGCCTATGTTTTGGGTATCATGTCTAAGATTCATTTCCAGATAGGTGATAAATAGCTACCCTTAGGTTTTCTTGTAAGAGAATAGAGGTTTAGCTTTTAGGTTCAGTTCTTTGGTCCATTTTTTATTTTATTTTTGTATATGGTATAATGTAAGAGTCCAACTTCATTCTTTTGCATATGTGTATCCAGTTGTCCCAGCACCATTTATTAAAAAGCCTACTTTCCCCTTTGAATGGACTTAGAACCTTTCTCAACATTCAGTTGACCTTAACCTAAATAGGCATACATACCTCCAGAGAGGACATACATATAGCCATGGACATATGAAAAGATGCTCAATATCACTAAACATTAGGGAAGAGCTAATTAAAACCACCATGTGATATTATCTTATACCTGTGAAAATGCCTATCATTAATAAATCAACAAACAACAAGTGTTGGTGAAGATGTGGAGAAAAAGGAGCCCTCACAACAATTAAAATGACATTTTTTTTAAAAAGGAACCCTCATACCCTGTTGGTGGGATTGTAAATTAATACAGCCACTATGGAAAACAGTGTGGAGGTTCCTCAGAAAATAAAAAATGGAACTACCATATGACCCATTAATTCTACTTCCAGGTATTTATTCAAAGAAATCCAAAACACTAATTTAAAAAGATAAATGCATCTTGTGGTAATTCCCCAGTTCTGGAATGAATAATAAGAATAGATACACACTCAGCAGCTGGCAGAATCCCCAAATTTATAACCTGTTCTATGGAGTAAGGACTATTACTATGGAAAAGGGCAAGTAGAAGCCACTGGAACTGCCACTACCATCAGAAATATAACAAAGTACAAGACAGCACTTCTGGAGGGACTGAAGAGATTAGTGCCACCATCATGGACATGAGAGATGTGGGGGTAGTGAATCTCATCACATCCCCATTCCATTTATCTATTTGTCCTATGCAAAAGGAAGATAGATCTTGGAGAATGACAGTGGATTATTTAAGCTTTACTAGGTGGTGACTCCAATTGCAGCTGCTTCATCAGATATTGTTTCATTGTTTGGATAATTTAACATATCCTGGTACTTGATATGCAGCTATTGGTTTGGTGAATGCTATTTTCTTCATCCTTGGCAAAAGGGCCCACCCAAAGCAGTTCACTTTCATCTGGTAAGGCTTTCCTATGGCAAAGACTTATCAATTTTCCAAGCCTTTGTTGTAATTTGATTGCCTTTCCCTTCTATAAGCTATCACACTGGCTAATAACACTGATGGTATTGGGCCTAGTGAGCAAGAAGCACCACTTACTGGTAAGAGATTTAAGTTTCAGGGGGTGAAAATAAATTTGACTAAAATTTTTTAAAACCTATATGCACACCTTATGTTTAAACAATATTATTTACAATAGTCAAGGTACAAAAGCAACATAAGTGTCCATCATTAGACAAAGGAATAAAAAAATTATGGTAAATATATACAATGGAACGTTGGTCAGCCATAAAAAATGAAATCTTGCCCTAGCTGGTGTAGCTCAGTGGATTGAGTGAGGGCCTGCAAAGTAAAGAATCATGGTTCGATTCCCAGTCCGGGCACATGCATGGGTTGCAGGCCAGTTCCCAGCGGGGGACACACGAGAGGCAACCATATATTGATATTTTTCTCCCTCTTCCCTTCCCTTCCCTTCTAAAGATAAATGAATAAAATCTTTTTAAAAAATGAAATCTTGACATTTGTGACAACATGAATGAACCTAGAAGGTATCGTGCTAAGTGAAATAAGTTAGGCAGAGAAAGACAAATACCATGTGATGCAACTTCTATGCAGACTCTTAAAAAAAAACAAAACAAACAAAATAGAAACAAACTCATAGATATGGAAAACAAGTTGATGGTTGCCAAATGGGAAGGGGTTGGCAGGATGAGTGTAAGTAAAAGAAATTAAGAAGTATAAATTGCTTGTTATAAAAAACATAGTCATGGGGATGTACAGTATTGTATAGAAAATATAGTGAATAATTTTATAATAAGTGTGTATAGTATCACATGGCTAATAGGCTTATCAGGATGATCATTCATAAGATATACTCTTATAAATGTCTGATCACTATATTGATTGCCTAAAATTAATATAATAGAGTATCTCAACTGTAATTAAAAAATTAACTTTTAAAAAATGTAGTTGACCTTAGGCACATTATTTTGGATTTTTAAATTATATTCTATTGATCTCTATGTCTGTCCTTATGGCAGCACAACATTGCCCCAATTATTAAGACTTTTTGGTAAATTTTTAAATTGGTACTTGTGAGTTCTACAATTTACTCTTTTATTCAGATTTGGCTAATTCTGAAAACAAGAATCCTTTGCAATTTATAAAAATTTTAAATTTAGCTTGTCAATTTCTATGAAAAAAACAAGCTAGGAGTCTGATAGAGAATGCATTAAATCTGTAGATCAACTTGGGGAATATTGCCATCATAATAATATGAAGATTTACAATCCATGAACATGGATGTTTTCCCATTTACTTAGATCTACTTTAATTTATTGGAACAATGTTTTGTACTTTAATGACTGTAAGTTTTACACTTCTTTTTGTGCCTTCTGTGAAGCTTTTCTCTTTTTTAAAGTATATTTTGTTGAATATGCTATTACAATCTTCCCAATTTTTCACCACTTATTTCCCCTCCACCCTGCACCTCCCAACCCTCCAGCATTCCTCCCTTAGTTCATGTCCATGGGTTATACATATAAGTTCTTTGACTTCTCTGTTTCCTATACTATTCTTAACCTCTCCTATCTATTTTATGCCTACCAATTATGCTTCTTATTCCCTGTACCTTTTCCCACCATTCCTCCCGTCCCCTTCCCCACTGAAAACTCTCCATGTGATGTCCCTTTCTCTGATTCTGTTCCTGTTCTAGTTGTTTGTTTAGTTTTGGTTTTTTTGTTTTAATATATACATATTAAATATTATGTACTGCTTAATATTTATATTATTATACAATGCACATACCTTATACATTTTTCAGAAGTTTTTTCAATGACAAGAAGAAATAAGACTCACCTATAATTAAACACTCAGATACAATAATCGTTGACATTTTGGTGTCTAGTGTTCTACTGTGCCCATGCATGTGCATCTGACTACTTCTTGAACAGTGAGATTAATTAAAGTATCAGACTCTGGTCTGGTTTATTCAAGGACAGTCTAATTCAATAGATAAAATGCAAAGCCATTCAGGAATGTAATACTGTTTCTTTAGTCACCCAAAAGATGAGAAAGGGGCTGCCGATCTCACTGCTACAGTGATGGTCCTTGTATGTGGGCTTGCCCTTGCTCAGCCATGGGCTTGGAAGTCTGAGCAAAGGTCATAGAGGGAATGGCTCCTTGCTAAGAAGCCTGGTGTCTTTTACTGTTCAGATTAGAAGAGAAAGTTATAATTGCTCCAGGTGTATTTGTATTTTCATTGTGCTTTCTTTTTTTCTTACAGTGCTCTTTCCATTCCTTACCCCAATTTTTGAACTATTAAATATCCATCTGTTTCCAAAAAGTGTTACTGATTTTTTCATAAAAACTGTAAAAAGAATGAAAGAAAGTCGCCTCCAAGATAAACAAAAGGTAAAATCTGGTGGTGGTTACATGCGAGTGTTCCCTTTCTGATCATTTATTGAGCTGTATACATATAATTTGTGCACTTCTCTTATTTTGGATGGGTAGAGAACTCTAGGTTTATAGGAGGAAAGTTATATAACATTTTGTAGGGAATGAAGAAGGTGGAGGTTAAGAAAGAAAATAAAAAATGAATCAGAAAGACATTGTTTAAAATGTAAGAATAAGCACAAAGCTTGGTATATCATTGCATGAATAGTATTGAGATAAAAAACCTTACCAGTTCCCTTCAATAAATTGTCACTCTCATTCATAAAAATAACTGCTTAAAAATCATAATTCCCCAGGCCTTAAACTGGAACAGAATCACATTACTTCCAAGCCTCTTGCTTTATATATTCTGCAATGAAGGCCCCATGAGGCACCTGACAGAGTGCACTCACTCTGTTAAGTCTGAGCCTCCTCGGAGACTGAGAGGGCAGGAGTCTTCTCTGGGCCTTGAGGTTACAAGCTGGCCAACCCAGCTTTGCCTTCATGGACCTGGAGGCCAGCACAAGAATGTTTGCAAGTCATGGTGATAGGGTTAGTTACCCCAGGATTTCACTGAACATTGTGGAGAGTTCTGGGATGGTGGGGCATTTGAAACTGATCACAGAAAAAGCACCAATAAACTCTTCAAGTGTTGGGAGGTTAATCTATGTGGCCATTAATGAAAAATTAAGGCTAGAGAAAAAAATTGAGGTCAGCAATCACTTTTTTTTGTGAGCAAGCAGGTGTGACAAGGGGTAACTTTTTGACCAGGAAGCTGTGTTCAAAAGTGAGAGAAGCCAGAGACCAGAAAGAGTGAGGACCAACAAGCAGTTGGATCTAATGGCTGGATTTCTCTCAGGGAAACATCCTGCTCTCCAGGTTGTAACTGAATGTTTGTGTTCACTGATGACTCAGGCAGCACAAGTCACACTTCCGGGTGGAGCCATATTATTAGGAAAGAAATTTAGTGCTGCACTCTTGATTTATTTCTAACATTGAAATTTCTCTTTTGACTTCCAGCACCGAGTGGATTTTCTTCAGCTGATGATTAACTCCCAGAATTCCAAAGAAACAGGCTCCCATAAAGGTAAACAATGCATGCTTCAAAGGGCCAGTGATGGGGAGGCTCAGAGGGAGGCATTGGTTCTGAAAATGTGCATGTTTTCCAGGCAGATAAGAATTTCTGCCAAATTGAAGAATGACAGATGCTCAGATATAAATGGTAGCCAGAAGCACTTTCTAGAAACATGTGGGCACAACTTTATTCAAAGCTTGAAGGGCACCATAAACAAGAATTTCTTTTACCTAGAAGTCAGTCTATAGTCTGTGGATCACTTATATCAGAACCTCCAGGGAGCTTGTTTCCACTGTCTATTCTCTGGCCTCACCTGGCCCCCTTTACTCAGAATCTCTGCCTGGAGATTCACATTAAGACTTCATCACATTAGGAGGCACACAGCTCCAGTGTGGGCAACCTTAACTAGGAATACTTCATTAAATTTGTGTTTGCTAGCTTAATTGTAAAGTTTTTATTTTTTCCTTAAATTAGTAAGTAACTTTTCAGAAGGCTTTGAGATTAAGCAAATATTCTGTTCCTCTTCAAAATTCCACATACTAATTTTATCATCCATTATTGGATTTTGACTGAAATCATTATTATTATCATGGTTGCAAAATGGTGACTTTCTAGTTCCATCATTTCTTCTACATTTATGAATTGATGTTTCATTGTAAGGAAGAACTTTCCATTCTCCTTCACTTATTTATTTGTTTATTTACTTATATCAATATGAACTCATATATTATAACTTTACTTTCTGAAATCATTCTTTGTCTTTTTTCATAGTCAAATTTTCTCAGGTTTGTCCGCTGTAGTCCTTTTAAGTGGGCTCTGTGTTCTGATTTTGTAATAGATTTTTTTAGGGCAGTTCTAGGTTCACAGCAAAACTGAGTGGAAGGTACAGAGATTTTCAATATTCTTCTTCCCCCTGTCCCTACACAGCTTAACAGACTATCAAAATCCCTTGCAGGTGTGGATCATTTGTTATATCAGTGAACCCACATTAACACATTCCCAAGAATATTGCAGTAGGTTTCCCTTTTCTCCACATCCTCGCCAGCACTTGTTTGTTGATTTATTAATGATGGCCATTCTGACAGGTATGAGGTGATATTTAATTGTGGTTTTAATTTGCATCTCTCTGATGGCTGGTGATGCTGAGCATCTTTGCATATGTCTATTGACCATCTGTATATCCTCCTTGGAGAAGTGTCCAGATCTTTTGCCCATTTTTTTAAATTGGATTGTTTGTCTTCTTGGTGTTGAGTAATCTGAGTTTTTTATTTTGGAGATCAAACGTTTTTCTGGTGTATCATTGGCAAATACATCCTCCCATATAGTCAGTTTCTCTCTATTTCCCTTGATTAGCCCTACAATCAGTCATTTCTCAAGGAGCTCTGGTTCATTTTAATGATAAGTAATATTTAGAAGCCAAAATCTATGATCTGAGAGTGCTTATTCCTATTAGGTATATTTTTGCTTCTAGATCTCCTTGGTGGACAAACCTAAGAACATCAAATATATTTATGCAGGTGTGATAAACTTAAATATTTCTCTATATACCCATAACCAGACAATGATATGATTATATTCTCTCTCTTAAAAAACCCAATTTATGGTTTATTTCCATAATGTAAATAATGCCATCATGGTTAATTTCAAACTGCCAATACCTTGACAACCATCTCACAAAATGTCTGAATATTAAACATTTGGTTCTACAGAGCAGCAATGCGGTGACTCTATCACACCACTATAAATACATAGATATCTATGTCTAGAACTTCTTTCTCTCTCTTCTTCCTTCCTCTTTTTCTCTTTCTTTCTTTTATTATCTATTTATCCATCTATCTACAATGGTCCAAAACAACCTTCTATGGCTAAGGAAATATACAGAGCAAAGAGATGGAGCATGTGCTAAGAAAGATGACTTTCAAGTCAAAATTGGATAAACATTGCTAATTCCACTCACTAAACCCTACATTTCTATGTTTCATGCTGTCCAATGCCCTTCTATCAGCACATTCTTTCTTCTGCTATGTTAATCCCTCTGATTAGGCTAAGCTCAATCACCAGTCTTCTATATTTTTTCTATCTCTGTAGTTTATGCACATATCTGACATCATCTATTTTGAAGATACATGTCTCAGGACTTCTATTACCTGATGTCTGTTAAAAGTATAACCCATGCTTATCAAGCTCGTTGTGTACACAAATCACATCTCTCTTTTAATACTATTTTAATTAAAGTTTATATTCAATATTATTTTGTATTAGTTTCAGATGTAAAGCATAGTATTTAGATAGTCAAGTACTTTACAATGTGATGCCCCTGATTTTATAAGTATTCACCTGACACCATACATAGTTATTACAGTATTATTGACTATATTCCTTATGCTGCACTTTATATCTGCATGACTGTTTTGTAATTACCAATTTGTAATTTTTAATCCCTTTACCTTTTTACCCACTCCCCCAGTCCCTTCCTCTAGCAGCTATCTGTCCTTTCTCTATTATCTATGAGTCTGTTTCTATTTTGTTTTTTCATTTATTGTATTCTTTAGATTTCACATGTAAGTAAAATCACATGGTATTTGCCTTTCTATGACTTATTTCACTTAGCATAATACCCTCTAAGTCCATCCATGTTGTTACAAATGGTCAGATTTTATTATTTTTATAGCAAGAAATATTCCATTCTGTGTATGTATCACCACTGTTTTAACCACTGGTCTACTGATGAGCACTTGGGTTGCTTCCATATCTTGTAAATTACATTGCATTGAACATAGAGGTGCATATAGTCTTTCAAATTAGTGTTTTGGATTTCTTTGGCTATATGCCCAGAATTAGAATCATGGAATTATAAGGCAGCTCTGTTTTTAATTTTTTCAAGGACCTTCCATGCTGCTTTCCAAAGTGGCTGCACCAGTCCACATTCCCACCAAGAGTGCACAAGTGTCCCCTTTTCTCCACATCCTTGCCAGCACTTGTTTTTGATTTATTGATGATAGCCATTCTGACATATACAGGGTGATATCTTATTGTGGTCTTAGTTTGCATTTCTCTAACAATTAGTGACATTGAGCATCTTTTCATATTGGTCATCTAGTTCTATTGGTCACCTGTATATCCTCTTTAGAGAAGTGTCTATTCAGGTCTTCTTCCTATTTTTTATTTAGATTGTTTGGAGTGGGGTTTGCTGTTGAGTTGTATAGGTTTTTTATAACTTTTGGGTATTAGCCCCTTACTGAATGTATCATTGGTGAATATCATCTCCCATTCAGTAGCCTTTTCCCCCCATTTTGTTGGTTTCCTTTGCTTGCAAAAACTTTTTAGGTTGACGAAGTCCTATTTATTTATTTGTTTGTTTGTTCATTTAATTTATTTTTTTGTTTTCCTTGCCCAAGGACATGTGTCAGAAAAAATTATTGCTAAGAAAAATATCAGATATTTTATTGCCTCTGTTTTCTTCTAGGATTTTTACGATTTCAAGTCTTACATTGAAGTCTTTAATACATTTTGAGTTCATTCTTGTATATGGTATAAAAGAAAGGAGTGTAGTTCCTTACATTTTTGCACATAACTGTCAAATTTTCCAAATACCATTTATTGAATACACTGTTTTTACCACTGTTCTTGTATCCTTTGTCATATATTAATTGATCATATAGGTATGGGTTTGTTTTGGGGGCTATTTTGTTCCATTCATCTATGTGTCTGTTTTTATGCCAGTATCATGTTATTTTAATTACTATTGTCTTGTAGTATAGTTTGATACTAGGTAGTGTGATACCTTCTACTTTGTTCTTTCCTGAGATTGCTGTGGCTATTCACAGTCTTTTGTGGTTTCATATAAATTTTTGGATTTTTTGTTCTAGTTCTACAAATCACTACATCTCTTGACAGTTCATATTGTGATTCAGTAGTTCTAGTATAGGGCTTGAGATTTTGCATTTCTATAACCTTTCAGATACTGCCGATGATGCTGGTCCATGGTGATACTTAGAGTAACTATATTTTCTGTGTAACCCAATATTGTTCTCTTAAGTTTCTGTGAACATGTTTGATGAAAGATCCTTTAATTTTTCCCTGAATAATCCTTAGGACAAAGTCTCTCAAAATTTTTCCAAGTATATATTATCTAGAATAATTTAAATTTTTCCTGGGGGTAGAATCCTATCCCAAATTACTTATAGCTAAACCGCTTTTAAGATTCTGCAGTGGTAATGCTGATAAAACTGTGCATGTTATGCAAAAATGCTATCTTGCAATTACACAGCAATGTTGTGGTTGAGAATAGTATAGACCTTGTGAAAAACTAAATTAAGACAACTTTTGCCTTTTCCTGGCTCTGTAACATACACATCAGAGTGCAAAACACTCCCAATTTAAGTTGGATTGCTTTTCAAATTTTTCCCATACGGGTTTGGGAGATTTATTTGGACTTTTCATCATCTAAACTGTAATATTGTACATTGACCTTTATAAAATATCTTTTTTCTCCTTTTAGCTTTGTCTGATCTGGAGCTTGTGGCCCAATCTATTATCTTTATTTTTGCTGGCTATGAGACCACTAGCACTTCTCTCTCCTTCCTTATGTATTTATTGGCCACTCACCCTGATGTGCAGCAGAAACTGCAGGAGGAGATTGATGCCACATTTCCCAATAAGGTGAGTGGGTGATACCTGGAGAGGGAGCTAGAAAGTGAAACCTTAGCAAGAGTTTCTCCTCACCACTTCCTAGGAAAATTTTTTCAAAAAAACATAAGCATCAATTCTTTTAACTGTGCTATTTAGGAAGGATATAAAGGAAAAAATACAAAAAAATTAAGGTATTGTGTGCTATTCATAGATATATAAGATCTTGGAAAAAAGTTTTTTTCCTAGCATATCAATTGTCTGTTATCACAATAATGCCAAGTGAAAATCTAAAAACTTCAGCAGCAGTTAATAATAAACACTTATTGCTTAAGTGCCTGGGTAGTTATCTCTGTTGATATTGGTTGGACTTGCTTTGGTCTGGTTCTTGGCTGGTTGAGAACGGCTTATAGGTAAGCTGGTTGGAGTGATTCAGCTCCACACATTCTAGCATTAACCCAGACAACTAGCATTGGTATGTTCTTCTCAGGCAATGGAAGAGAGAAAGAGCAAGAAGCCCAATCATGTGGGTGCCTTTCAAAACTCTGATTGCATCACACTTAGCCACATTCCATTGGTGCAATGCATGCAACATGACCAACCTCAGCATTATAAAATAAGAGGACAAAATTAGATGACTAAGGCTATGAACACAGAATGTGGCAGATAACTGGCACCATTATTGCAATCTACACCTCTGGGTAAACTTTGCAGTCTAGGAGAAGCCTAGTATACAGGAAAGAACATAGGGTAGGAAATAGAAGACATGAGTTTGAGTCCAGACTGTGGTTTTGGAGAGATCTTAAGACCCTTCTGTATCATAGGTCCTTCAGATATAAGGTAAAAAAACATACATTTCAGAGTCCAACTAAATTAGAGATTATCTTTTATCTCAGGGTAAGTGTATATTGTGATTGATTTTTATTGCAAGGTGAGGTCACTATGAGACAGAGACTAGCTAAAGCATTATGATCTTCCCTTTTTATATTAATAATTACAATGACAATAGCAACACTATAGCTATATACTTCTAACTATATATGTCTGCTCTAAATGCTTTACATTTGTAAATGAATTTAATCTTTAAAAATATTAGGTATTAAAAATAGAAACAGACTCATAGAGAACAGACTGGCAGCTGTCAGAAGGCAAGGGAGTAGGGCGGCTGAGTGAAAAAGGCAAAAGAATTAAGCAAAACACACACACACACAGACAATAGTGTGATAATTACCAGAGGGTCAGGGGGGTGGGGGAGGTAGAAGGCATTATAGGAGGATATGGTGATGGAAGGAGACTGGAATTGGGGTAGTCAACACACAATACAATATACAGGTGATAATATTATAGAATTTTACAGCTGAAACCACATAATTTTATTAAGCAACATCACATAGTAAATTCAATTATAAAAATTATGTAGTAGGACAAAGTAAGGCATGCTACAGCTTCCGATTAGTCACCAGTTCTCAGTGCCTTTACATAGCAAGGAATTATTTCCAACTGACATTATTATGTTCAAACATAGATTGTTAGAGGAAGATGGGAGTGGGACCCTCTGCTCCACATAGTTCCAAGAAAAATAAGCTTAAAAGGCTCCATGTTCTTAAAGCTTCACTCTCTGGAACACAGGCCTTCATGTTATTGAGGAATAAAGAACTAGCGTATTGCTCACCAGATATTCATATTTTTTAATATATTTTATTGATTATGCTATTACAGTTCCCCCATTCCCCCCTTTTTCCCCTCCACCCTGCACACCCCCTCCCACCCACATTCCCCCACTTTAGTTCATGTCCATGGGTGATACATATAAGTTCTTTGGCTTCTACACTTCCCATACCATTCTTGCCCTCCCCCTGTCTATTTTTACCTACCATCCATGCTGCTTATTGTCTGTACCTTTTCCCTCTCTCTCCTCCTCCCACTCTTCTGTTGCTAACCTTCCATGTAATCTTTATTTCTGTGGTTCTGTTCCTGTTCTAGTGGTTTGCTTAGTTTGCTTTTGTTTTTAGGTTAGGCGTGGTTGTTAATAATCGTGAGTTTACTGTCATTTTACTGTTCATGTTTTTTATCTTCTTTTTCTTAGATAAATCTCTTTAACATTTCATATAATAAAGGTTTGGTGATGATGAACTCCTTTAACTTGACCTTATCTGGGAAGCACTTTATCTGCCCTTCCATTTTAAATGAAAGCTTTGCTGGATAGAGTAATCTTGGATGTAGGTCCTTGCTTTTCATGACTTGAAATACTTCTTTCCAGCCCTTTCTAGCCTGTAAGGTCTCTTTTGAGAAATCAGCTGACAGTCTGATGGGAACTCCTTTGTAGGTAACTGCCTCCTTTTCTCTTGCTGCTTCTAAGATTCTCTCCTTATTTTTCATCTCAGGTAATCTAATTATGATGTGCCTTGGTGTGCTCCTCCTTAGGTCCAACTTCTTTGGGACTCCCTGAGCTTCCTGGACTTCCTGGAAGTCTATTTCCTTTGCCAGGTTGGGGAAGTTCTCCTTCATTATTTGTTCAAATAAGTTTTCCACTTGTTTCTACTCCTCTTCCCCTTCTGGTACCCCTATAATTCGGATGATGGAACATTTAAAGATGTCATGGAGGTTCCTAAGCCTCTCCTCATTTTTTTTTTGAATTCTTGTTTCTTCATTCTTTTCTGGTTGAATGTTTTTTTTTTCTTTCTTCTAATCCACACTGTTGATTACAGTCCCAGTTTCCTTCCCATCACTATTGGTTCCTGTACATTTTTTCTTTATTTCACTTAGCATTGCCTTCATTTTTTCATCTAATTTGTGACCAAATTCAACCAATTCTGTGAGCATCCTGATTACCAGTGTTTTGAACTGTGCATCTGATAGGTTGGCTATCTCTTTGTCACTGAGTTGTATTTTTTTGGAGCTTTGATCTGTTCTTTCCTTTTGGCCATTTTTGGGGGGGTCTCAGCACACCTGCTACGTTTGAGGGGCTGAGCCTTAGGTGTTTACCAGGGCAGGGCAACCCATGTCTGCTTTGTGACACCATATGTGGGGGAGGGGTTCAAGAGGAAATAATGGCACTAGCTTCACTCCCTGTCAGATTTCAGTCACTTCCCCCGCTACCCACAAGGAGAGTGGGCCTTTCTGGTGCTGTGGTGGTTTTGTGTACATTCTAGGACCCTGTGGGTCTCTCCAACAAACTGTGAGGCAGGGAGTTTCTCCCGCTGCAACCTTAACCCCCACAGATGTTTTCAATCATGGTTTGAGGCTTTATTTCACTGAGCTGGGACCCCAGGTTTCGAGGTCGGCCTTGCTCCCCAGCTGTTCCTCCCAATTTATCTGCGTGAATGTGAGACCGCTTGCTCCACCCCCTGCTGCTTTGATGGTCTTCCAGCTGCTGCCTTGCTGGCCAGCTGCAGCCTTGCCCGCCCCATTCCACAATCCACCACTTTGCCATGAGTCCTCTTTGCCTGACTGCCCATCTCTGCCCCTCCTACAGGTCTGGATGGATGTTTCTTCTTTAATTCCTTGGTTTTTGGACTTTCATACAGTTTGATTTTCTGTCAATTCTGGTTGTTTTTTGTTTTTAAATTGTTGTTGTCCTTCTTTTGGTTGTGTGAGGAGGCACAGTGTGTCTACTTATGCCTCCATCTTGGCCAGAAGTCAATATTCATATGTTTGGGCCCTGAACTAACATATGTCACCTTAGCTCACAGCCCATTCTCAAAGCTGGTTTTCCCTAACTTCAAGTGGGCTGAGAGATGCTGAGACTACATGGATGTTGGGAGAACTGTGAGTATCTCTGCCACACAATCTATAAAGAGTCAACTCTAATTATCTCCATGTAACATATCAGAAAACTGAGCTACAGAGAGGCGAAGTAACTAATGTAGTAACTCATTCTTCATGAGTCATGTACTTAGTGGTGAAGAGGTCACTAGCCAAACCTTTAGTCTCTACAATATTGCCTCTTCAATATAACACCAAGTGATACCAAATATTGCCTACACTCTTTTCAGATATCTGACAAAACTGGAATTCTTTGTGGTGGTAAGAGACTGGCCTCTGGAGCTAGAGAGCCTTGTTTGAGATCTTCACAGCTTCCAGTCAACCCCTGGAGCAACAACTAGGAGACTGTTTCAGCAAGGCAGCATGGGGCTGAATAGGAATTTGTTATAAACAAATTCCACCTGTTTATAAGTTTCACTAGAATGAACTGTGTACTCTGGTACCTAGTATCCGGTCCTACCCTTCTTTTGCCATATTTGCTTTAGAAAAGAGCTCATTTCTCTCCAAATTATTTATAGTTTGTATACAATATAGTGTTTCTCTCCAAATTTTATATATATCATCCAAAAAGTTAACAAGTGGAATTCTTTAATTTTTTATTGTTATTCCATTATAGTTATTCTGCTTTTCCCCCTTTTGCTCTCCCCTGCCCTGTCCCCACTACTTCTATAGTCAATTCCCCTCATTGTCCATGCCCATGCAAGCAGAATGTTTCAACTAAAGAACTGTATGTCAGAGATTTTGCTCTTTTGCACATTCTCTTTCCTTGGTACAGAAGTGGCCTCTCTTTTGAAGGATACAGTGACTTTGGTATATTTTAGTTAAGGGTAAGAGTCATCAAAAAAGAGCAAGAGTGGTAGTCTCTTAGTCACATCTGTTCACATGAGATGGAAAAGTAACTGCATGGCAATGTGAGAGGTTTGGGATCCTATTGAGAGAATTGTCTCAAAGTCTCCCACAGTCGTAACTACTCCACATATCTCAATGGGCCATTTAGCAGATCAAAGGACATGATGGGTATTAAAATATTTGTAAATCCTAAGGCCCTTTACCAAAACAAGGTATTCTTTGGAGCTCCTAACATTCCTATAGAACTACGCAGACTGTGTTGAAAGTTGATCCCAAACCTCAATTTATCAAAACCTCTTTCTTTCTTCCCAGGCACCTCCCACTTACGATGCCCTGTTCCAGATGGAGTATCTTGACATGGTGTTGAATGAATCTCTCAGATTATTCCCAATTGCTGGTAGACTTGAGAGGCTCTGTAAGAAGGATGTGGAAATCAATGGAGTGTTCATTCCCAAAAGGACAGTGGTGATGGTGCCAAGCTTTATTCTTCACCGAGACCCAGAGTACTGGTCAGAGCCTGAGGAGTTCCAACCTGAAAGGTACTGGGCCCCTGAGAAAGGGAAACCTCCATGATCTGGGCTGGTTGGGGGATATTCCAATGTCTGTTAGTACAGATGACTAATTTATGGTTGTGCAACATTTATATGTATGTTTTTATTTTTAGACATTTACTTTTATTACAAGAGTGATCATTGTTTGTTATCAAAATTTTACAGATTCAGACTAAATAAAATTGTATTTGTCCATAGTCCTACTATCTTGAGATAGGTTTCACTAATAATAATGTGATGTATGTAATTATTGACTTTTTTCTAGACATATACAAAGTTTTAAAAACAAAAATAGTAATATATTTTTATTTTGAAATGCTTTATTTAACAGTAAACCATAAACAATGTTCTATTATATAACCATCATGTACAGTATAATATACACTATATATGGTATATATACTATATATATTTATTTATATACTGTATACATATATATGACTATATGCATATGCCATAAACTACTTAAACATTACCTGGTTTTAGAAATACAGGCTTATTTAATTTCTTTAAGTTCTGTTTTCTTTAGCTCTCTGAATTTACCACCACTGTTTCCACATTCCATTCTTTAAAAACGTTGGCTGCTATTCCTTTAGCATTATTGGGAGAGTGCAGGCTGACAACCTGTACAGGCTGAAAACCCCTGATGGTTTAAGCAGCCTCAGGGTAGAGATGAGCACGGGTCCCTGGAGTTGTCTTTGGTTGCAGTCCTATATCAGCTTCTTCCTAGTCTCAAAGTTTGGTGACTACCAAAGGGAAGTCATCTGCTCTATTTATGTCTGAGATACTACCCCTAGGGTGGTCTTTAGCTTGTTCTTCTGGTAATTCAGAGCCATTTCTGACTTTGGGCACAGCTTGAACTCTAGAAAGAGCTGATTTCTCCTATTTGTTGTATTGGTAAGCAAAATTGGAATGAACTACTGGAATCCCTAGCTGGGATCTAGACTTTCATTAGCCTTACTATAAGGTCCCTAATGTCAGGGACCTTGTATTATTTGCCACAATGTTCTTAGTTCTAGCTTAATGTCTACACATAGTACTTGCAGGAAGAAGTTAGAGATAACCAAATCCTGTTTCCTGGACCAGGGACCTCTGTGGTTTTCCCAAACTCAGCAGTTCTACCCCCACCCCGCCACCTCCCACCCTGTACCTTCAGGAACATGAAACCAGACAGCACTGACTGTGCTTCTCTTTGATCATTCAGTCATGAACAGAGAGTAAGTGTTTACCATTGCAGGAAGTGGTCAAGGCAGTTACAAACCAAATGTTAAAAAATGCCTATGATGGAAAATGTTTAACATTTACAGAAATATTTGCGTATTTGACATATAAAAAGCACGTTTATCCCTGGCTGCTGTAGCTCAGTGGATTGAGCATGGGCTGTGAACCAAAGGGTCACAGTTCAATTCCCAGTCAGGGCACATGCCTGGGTTGCAGGCCTGATCCCCAGTAGGGGGCATACGAGAGGCAACCACACATGGATGTTTCTCTCCATCTTTTTCTCCTTCCCTTCCCCTCTCTCTAAAAATAAAAAAAGAAAGAAAATTTTTTAAAAAAGCACTTGTATATGTCATATGGAAACTATGGCATATATTTGTATCCACAGAATGCTTTTAATGCACCTATATGTCCCATCACCTGCCTTACAGCCATCAACCTACATCTGGTGCTCTATCTAATGCCACTTTGCCCATCCTCCTGATTCCCATATTATTTTAAGTCACACCATCTATAAATATTCCAATGTTCTCCAAAATATAAGAATCTTTTAAAAGTATATAACCAGCTCTATGCATGGCAGTATCATAGCCAAAGAGGTTTATCTGAGACAAGATGCTTGCTAACTGAAAACAGTTCCCAGTACACTGCCGTGATGACTTAAAATACAGTTGGCACTGGCAATTTTTGACAATTTCTATGGAGACTGAAATAAATAAATAAAATCATAATGCCATGGTCACTTTCCCAAATTCATTTTGTTCTTAATGTAATCAAATGTTGAGGAATAAAAAAAGAGAGATTTTCCTTTAAACAGCATTCATATCATCTCTTCAATGAAACTGAAATCTCCTATAGGGCAAGGGGAATGGAAAAGATCTGTAGCTTACAATTCTCACAGCAAAATAATGAGCAGAATCTCACTGACTAGCCCATACAAGTAGCCTGTGTACTACTGGTTGAGGAGCCTAAGTGAGAACCTCAAACATGTAGCTCTTATGGTGTTTATGTTTCAGTAATTGTTTTCATCTGCTGTTGTGGAACCAGGTTCAGTAAGTCGAACAAGGACAGCATAAATCCCTACATATATGTGCCCTTCGGAAATGGACCCCGAAACTGCATTGGCATGAGGTTTGCTCTAATGAACATGAAGCTTGCTGTCATCAAAGTTCTGCAGAACTTCTCCTTCAAGCCTTGCAAAGAAACACAGGTCAGACACTTAATACATTCCCACTCTGCATAAATAATGCTTGATTGAGAGTTTTTCTTAAACTGAGATGCATATACATATATATATACACACATACATACATACATGTATTGTATATGTATACATGTATATATACATGTATATGCATGACTGTGCTCATTCATTATTTAATAATTTGTCCTGTTGGCCAGAGAATCTGTTTGCAGTCATCTGTGACCTCTAAGATCCTGTTATTCTGGAGTGCTAAGTCTGTGATTTATAAATACCCAACTATAAAGACCATCTAGAGTTAAAGCAGTTAGTGTGACACGATGATGCATAGTCCCTTGAGAAAAGTTTAAATTTGGTTTGAAGTCCACTGGAAGGGAGTGGAAGCACTGTGCACAGCCCTGAAGTGCAATGACAATAATGGGTCATGACTTTTGAACACTGCTCTTCTTTACCAGAAGATAGGCTAAGTTGTAATAGTAGTTCTCAACCCCTGGCTGAACAATGAAATCAGCAGGGAGCTTTGAAAAATCCTATGCCTAGGTCATCTCAGGTTCTAAAATAACTCATCTTGTGTGGGTTTAAAAGCACTTCCTTTAGTTCTCATGTGCAGATGAGGTTGAGAATCACTTGTTAAAGCATTTCTGCCTGATGTGAAGAACTCCCACAGTCCAGGGCCATCTGGCTACTTGCACCCTCCTTCTGAGAACCCTGCTACAATCAAGCTGGGATTGTTTATATCTTAATAAGAGCTCTCTCATGTTCTTGCTCTACTCCTCATTCTGTTCTCATCCTTCAAGTCCTAGTTCACTCCCAAAGCCCCTCCAGGAGCCTTCCCCATCAAGTCCAGAGCCTGTTCTTTACTCTGTTCTGTTGTCACTACTGCAGGCTGTTATCATCAGTCATACCATCTAACCTAATCCCTTATCATTAAACCATCCAGTTTGGTTCTTTGTGTTTTCTTTGTACCGAAGAACGTCTTTAACGCTAGCAACTCATTTTATTCCTTTCATAAATTCCCAATGATGCTTTATAATCATGCAGGAAATGCTTAAAGAGGTTTTTTGTTGTTGTTTTGTTTTGTTTTGTTTTGTTTTGTTTTGCATTTGATCTGGAGATTTGGGTACAAATTTTAAATGATTTAATTTGAAAATTTTAACAAATAACATTTGCAGTGAGCTTTTTATATGTGTGTTGTTCTGTGTACAGGGGAAGAATATACATTCTATTTGAAATTATAAAAGAGAAAGGCCTTACATTAATATAAAGAACTAGAATCTCTCTTCTGAAGAACATACAGAACAGTTGCCCTTGACTCATATCAAGCAAGGCCTTATAATAAGGCTTATTTCTAGGACTTACACATTTATTACATAGATTCTTCCCTTAAGTAGGCTCTATCAGAAGGGGTGGAGGATGGAGGTGGTTTGCATCTTATTTGTGGCTTTGGGCAGCTGTGTAGCAGTCCTGTAAGTGGGGCCTCAGCCTTGAGGGGCAGTGGGCTTCTGGCACAATGGGGTGAGGCAGACACTCCCTGAAAGCTCCCAGTCATTGATGGCTGGTGCTTCACACCCTTCATGACAATTTTCATGCATCTTCAGCAAGTCAGATCAGAAGGTTACCATGTTGGTGGCTCCCCCAACACTGAGGGAGTGACTGAATGAGAATAGAGCTTAAAATATTCGTCAAAACACTATATAGGTCTTCAGAAGTTTACCATTTATACTACACTTGGCAGCCAGGAGATGTTAGAAAACAAGTACAACACTTCACAATGAGTTTTTCCCATCATGAAACTGAAAGGCTTCCACTGGGAGAGGTGACTGACTCTTTAGAAGTCAAGGATGATTCAAATAATTAAACTATATAACGTACTCAGAATTACCTTGCAAGTTTCAGCATGCACAAAATTTATACTGTATGGCTTTTCCAAATAGCTTGCTATAATGTCTAAGAATCCAGTTTAAATTCTAAAAATTTATTCTTTTGCTTAAAATTTAAACCAAAAACAAACACAAACCAGTGTGATTTTGTCTCTGGCCAAGCACATAATAGGTGCTGTACTGATATTTTCTTGAATGAATGTATCAATGAATGTTCTCACTACCGACAAGTATTGAGACAGCTTACCATATAAGTATAATGAATGAAAGATATATTATGCTAAAAGTAATTTTACATGTTTGTAAAGCATTATGGTCCTCAATGTATCTCATCTACTTTGCTTCTGTTGTTGACAGTGCTTCATTAACTAGTTCTCATATGCCATTTAACATTTTCAGATTCCTGTGGAATTAGATTCTCAAGGAATTATTAAACCACAAAAACCCATTGTTCTAACGGCTGAGTTGAGAAATAAGACTGTAAGTGGAGCGTGACCTTCCCTAAGGACTTACACCTTGTTCTTCAAGGGAGCTGCATGCCTGACACTGGAGATCTCGATGTACTTTGTGAATAAAACCCAGAAATGAAAATAGGTTTAACCTACAGCACTTGATGAAGAACTAGTGATTCTGTACATTCATTTAGTTTTTCCAGAGTCTATACAGAGTATTATATATTATGTAATATGAGGGAGGTGACTAAATAAGAGCCAGATACGGAGGCATTCATCCACCCCAACTTAGTACCATCCCCTCTTCCTTAGCGCTAATCAAGAATACAAATTTTTCACAATTTTATCACCAAACTTTAATAAAAACAAGAATTAATTATAGTAAACAGCAGTAGTGACATTTTATCATGTTTTATTTTGAAATTCTATGTTGTATATTATTTAGCAATTCAATAAATACCTCTTCACAATAGTATTCTCTAATGCTTTCCTGCAAACTAAGAGGTGGGGGTGGAATCTATAGGACCAAATCAGTGGGAGCCTGTGACTAATTGTTTTTGATAACTCTGATTTGTATATTAAGATAGATGAGAGTTAATCCACTGTGATTCTCCCATTGTTTAGAAAGTACATTCAGAATTTGATTCTACCCTTTTTGGAACACATGTTTTTTGTAACACTCAGTTGAAGCACTTATTATATTACTAGTTTTAATTTAATGTTTCATCTCATCTCACCTGATGATTCTGAAAAACAGGAAACATGTTTTCTTATATTCTTTGTATTTCACCCTCAACTCTCAACTGTCTTAACACAATAAACATGGAATAAAAGACAGTTGATTTAGTCAATGATTGGGCAGAAAGGCTACAGATATTCATCAGTTTCAGAAGTACACAGGGTTCTTCCTTCTCTTTCTCTGCTCCTCTCTCCCCCTTTAGAATCCCCTCTCTTCTCTTACTTTCTTTTCCCTTCTGTTCCCTTCCTTTGTATCTCCTTCCCTGCCCTTCCCTTTCTGAATAATTCAGTTCTAAAACCAATAGGTGGTGCACAGCATTATGGGTAGACACACATTGTAGGGGCAGAGAAGGGAGTCACAGTGGCTACAGCCTGGAGACTAAGTAGGGTGGGAGGGTATCCACATGAAGCAGTAGCCTGGTATGAGTGTGGGAGCCCAAATGAGAAATGTGTCCATGCACAGATGAACACATTGCACCAGGGGTATCCAGGCAAAAGCAGCCATAGCCTAAAGACTGTGTAGAGAACTCAAGTAGGGTGAGGAGGGCATCCATTAATGGAAAGAGATGGAGTGAAGATTGGCTACATAAAAGAGACCTGATCAAAGAAGTAAACATATTAAAGATAATGAAAACCAGATTTCTGACTTTTAGAGAAGGAAGTCACTGATTCTCATCATTAGAAGAAGGGAAAAACAGAATTAACCATATGGACTCAGAGATTAGAACTGAATATAACTTTGTTTTTCTATACAGATAGATGATAAATATATTAATAAATAGTAATACATAGAGATAGATAGATATAGATACTTACATGTATGTTGTATATAAAATCACACACTCTCTACTTCTTTCCACTGATAGAGCTTTAAAACTTTATAGCAATGAGTATACTTCATGCCCAGATCTTGGTTTATAAATTTTCCACCTAAAGGGACCCAAGCTACTTAGAAATGGCTGATTTGAGGGCCAGTTTTGAGAAAGTACAATATGAGCCTGGAAACCCTTTCCCCCTTTTCTTCCATTATCCCCTTCCACCTCCCCTCTGGTTACTGTCAGATTTTTCTTAATTTTAATATCTCTGGTTATATTTGAAACTACTGGGTCAAAGAACAAATAATATAAGAAATCAAAAGACTATAGATAGAAAAAAGAACAAAATTAAAAATAAATAATTATAATGATTGACAAAAAAGATTATAATAAGTAAGTAAGTAAGTAAGATTATAATAAGTAAGTAAAGGAGATAAAATGAATTTTTTAAAAGTCTCAATAAAATTAGAGAATGCAAAAAAAGAAAAAAGAAACAACAAATGAAAGTAATAGGAAACAGCTAGCAAGATAGTATATTTTAATACAACTATACAAACAATAAATTTAAAGGTGAATGATTTAAGAATAACAGTTAAAAATTGAGAGGCTGGGTTGGGAAAAAAAAGTAAGACCCAACTACATGAGACTGAGATTGTATTGGTCAGGATCCTCCAGAGATACAGAAGCAATAGGAGGGGTCATTGGTCATTGCCTCACATAATCACTGAGGCTAAGTTCCACAATTTTCTGTCTGCATGCTGGCGAGCCAGGAAAGATGGTGGTATAATTCAGTTTGAGTCAAAGTCCATGGGGACAAATGGTGTAAATGTCAGTCCAAGTCTGAAGGCTGAGAATGAAGAGCACCAATGTCCAATGGCAGGAGAAGACAGATGTCCCAGCTCAAGTAGAGAACAAATATTCCATCCCTCTCTGATTTTGTTCTATTCGGGTTCTCAAATGATTGGATGATAGCTACCCACACTGAAGAGAGCAATCTTCTTTAGTCTATTGATTCAAATGTTAATCTCTTCTGGAAACACCTCACAGATAAATCTAGAAATAGGATTTTACAGCTATCTGGACATCCATTATCCCACTCAGGTTGACACTCAAAACTAACCATTACAGAGATCTACAAGAAACCCACTTTAATATTATAATAGTAGACTTCTAGTTTCAGCTCCAACATGTAAAGAATTTAGAGGTCATAACTCATACCTCTAAAAAAAGATATGAGAAAGCTGAAAATCAAGGATTTTCTCAGGCCCATCAGAGAACTGACATTGCATGGCAAATTGCCACCCCAAAATCTAGATAGATACAGAGTTGAAGCTCAGATCTGCTTCCCTGAAGCAAAACTCATCAGAGCCATAAACTTGTAGAAATACTTAAATGGTAGATTTGATGAATTGCTGGGGGTTGAGTGTGGGATAGCTTGAGTGAGAAACTTGTTAGAGCTGCAATATTGGAGACGGGGTTACATATTCATAGGTTTTACCTCCAGGAACCCCACCAAATTCTCAGAACAAAAGTTGAATGAGATACCCTGTGGCTCTCTGGCAGGGGGGAGAGGAATAGAAATCATTGGAAACAGTGCCAGAGTGTTTTCCATAACAAAAGCCTAGTCTCCACGGAAAAAAGACTTTAACAGAACCCTATCCAGGATCACACAGTGTGGGTGGCTTACAACACCAAGGCATGTACCCGCCAAATTTGGGGGCTGTGCAGCACAAGTCTAGGCTGAAATCAGAGATGTTCAATATCACCAGGAGAAAGTGTAGGATAAATTAGTCACTGCCAAACTACCTCCTGGGAAGTGTTACTTGTTGTTCCTAGAGCTGAAGTTTCTGTGGTAAAATAAGCTTGAGAAAAACTGCGTAATAAATACCAGTCCTAATGAGTCAGATAATACATTAACATAGTAAAGATTCAGAGAAATCCCTAAGTAAAATTGAAAATTATTACAAGTTTATTCTCAATCCTGTTTGTGCATCAGAAGGGCTTATTTAATTTTTAGTAAATACAACACATGGATCCCATCCCACACCTGAGGATATGAGAAAGGCCAATATCAAGACTCAAAAAAAAAAGGACAAAAAGTTGTTAATAAGATGGGTACAATACCAGAAAAAAAATTTTTGCTTAAAAAAATCAAAATTATGAACAATAAAATGACAACAAACTCATAACTATCAACAAATGAACCTAAAAGAAAAGAAAAATAATGAAAACAAAAACTAAGCAAACAGCCAGAACAGGAAAGAAATCAGAGAAATGGACATCACACAGAGGAAGTTCAGTGGAGAAAGAGAAGGGAGGAATGGGGGGCGGAGTACAGAAAAGAAGAAGCATCATTTGTAGGCATAAAATACACAGGGAAAGATAAAAATGGTACAGGAAACAGAGGACTAAATAACTTATATGTACAACCCATGGACATAAACTAAAGGTGGGAGAATGCTGGAGGGCTGGGGGGGAGCAGGTGGAGGGGAGATAAAGGGGAAAACTATAATAGCATAATCAATAAAAATACTTAATTTTTTTTTCTTAGTAAAAGATTTAAGTTCTATACTCTGGTTTCTCTTCAGATCGTATAAATCTTTTGGCTTTTATTAAAGATGCAATTTCTTCCCAATAGTAAGTAGTAAAGGAATCCAAATGTGTCACCCCAAAATAGGACTGACATAAAAGTTATTTTGAGCTGAAGGCAATTATGAAGCAGGAAGTCCAGGAAAAGCACCCCACCCCTTCCTGCCTAAAGGCAGGATATAAATTCTCCTTTTATTGGAAGCAGACTCTTTTTTTTTTTTTTAAACAGGCTTCATTGACTTTATTTTCCTTGTACAAAAATTATGTGGTGGCCACAGCTGGAACTCGGGTCCTCGGGTCTTTACCAGATGGTCAGTGAATTCCTGGTAGGGAGACTTGGTGAACACAGTCTCTTTCCAGAGGTCAGGGGTGAGATAGCTGTAGGTCTTAAGAGATAGCATCAAAGGTAGCCTTAGCAAAGTTGCCCAGGGTAGCAGTGCAGCCCCTGGCTGAGGGGTAGCAGTTGTCAATACCAGCCATCACCAGCAGCTTTTGGGCACAGGGGCCGAGACGACGCCAGTGCCCCTGGGTGCAGGGATTAGGTGCACCAGCACAGAGCCACAGAGCCTGGTCACCTTACAAGGGACAGTGTGGGGTTTGCCGATCTTGCTCCCCCAGTAGCCTCGCCGCACAGGGACAATGGAGAGCTTGGCCAAGATTATGACCCCATGGATGGCAGTGGCTACTTCCTTTGAGCACTAAACACTGAGACCAACGTGTCTGATACAGGGTCCAGCCAAGGGGGGTACCCCCCAAAAAAGATTTGGAATGGTGTCCAGAATTCAAAGTGTATAAGAATATTGGAGAGACATATAAGATGTCCTCACCGCCCCCCCCCCCCGCCCCAGGGGGAAGAGACAAATAGAACCAGGGCCATTGAGAGCTGTTTTGCATAGCAACAGTTTTGCAGCTAACCTCTGGAATGATTATTTAACATATCTATAACCTTTAACTGGTTTCATAGATATGTTAAATAGCAGTGGCCAAGTTTGGAGCCAGGGAGAAGGGAGTAGCAGGACTCAGAAGGGAACTCAGAAGGGAACTAGGGGCTGCACTCCTGAGAGAGAAGGCCTGTTTGAGAGCTTGGAAAAGACTGGCTCCAGGACATGAGGGGATAACTGCCCAGGTGAAAGGGAAAATCACGCAGCTTTGCCAGAATGGAGATCCCTGCAGCCAGGTGAAGAAGAAAGCCACATGCTTTTGGTGGAGTGCAAACCCCTGCAGCTTTGGTAGAAGAGGCCCACGCGGCTTTGGGATGCCCCGTTTGGCTGTGTGGCCTGGAAAGCAAGAGAGTCTTTGACTGGAACTGGGTACAAAGAACTCTTGCCAGTGGACCATGAGACGGTACCACAGTACTTTGGATTAACTAGAGAGATCCTGCCTGCATGGTGACACAGCTGATGGTGCCAGCAGCCTGCAACAAAGACGTGTGCTCTTTTCCTGATTTACGGTACCCGGAGTTGGGACAGTGGGAGAAGGGAGCTGTGTGGGTGTAGGTGTATACCCTAAAGGACTTTGATATTTTAGTGGAGGCGTTAGGCCTGAATAGCATTAAATAAACATTTCGTTTCCTTTTCACAAATCTCTGGCATTGAGAGATGTCTTTCCAATTGGCGGCGGACAGAAGAGCCCAGTAGATATTAGTATTTTGTTTTTGGGAGGGGCCCCTGTTGTATAGCAGTTTTGGGCATCCCTAGGTGGGCCAAATATTGTATTGCCCCCCCCCTCCCTTGGACCTCTTGTTCGGTAACATGTCCATTGTAGTCCCCAATGGCAACAAATGCCTTGAATCGGGTCCTCTGGCCTGCACATGTCTGCTTTTGCACGGGCATAATCTTCAAAACCTTGTCCTTGAGGGATGCCCCCAAGAAAAAGTCAATGATCTCAGATTCCTTAATGGGCAGAGAAAAGAGATAGATTTCCTCCAGGGACTTGATTTTCATGTCCTTGACCAGGCAGCTCAACTTGGTTACGGGGATCCATTCCTTACCCTCGGCCTTGCCTCACCGAGCTCCACAGCCTCAACCCTGACCCCGACCTCGGGATGCCACTGCCAAATGCTCCTCAGAAGCCTCCTCGGCCTCCCATTCCAGGGCCCCCAGAGCCTCTCAGCCCTCCTGCAGCACCGGCGTCATCCGCCATTTGGTGTTCCTTGGGAAAAAGAGTGGAAACAGACTCTTAACCAAAATACAGCACCAGAGGAATCTGCAAAGTACTCCATTAGTTTCCTCACATATATTTACCTTCCTGCAATCTGCCACTCTTGGGAGGCTGAAATTGTAATGAGGTGCAGCCAAGGGGGGGGCCCAAATAGGGATTTGTAATGGGGTCCAGAACTCATGGTGTCCAGGAAATATTAGAAAAATGTATATATATAGGATGTCCTCACCCCCACAAATCTGAGCTAGGAGATGGGACACATCACGCTGGGACACAGGGCCACTGAGAGCTGTTCTGCATTGCAACAGCTTTGCAGCCAACCTCTGGCATGGTCATTTAACATACCTTTTAACTGGTCTCATAGATATGTTAAATAGACGTGTCCAAGCTTTGAGCCAGGGAAATGGGAGTGACTTCAACTCATGATGTAACTGGGAGGGAACTCCCTCTGGTTACAGCACCTGCATGAGAGCTTGCAGATTGGCTCCACGCCAGGGGGCCACACCTGCCCAGACTTATTATGGCAGCCCAGTAAAGCTGGAATAATATGGGAATGCTGGGAGGTGCACCTGATTGTAGGAGGAGTCGAAAATGGGGCTGCAGAGGAATATTGGCACTGGGATTTAAACCCAGGCATGGCAGCCATGTGGGGTTTTTTTTAGAACCATGCAATTTTGGTGTGCTCCCTTTTGCCACATGTCTTAGGATGCAGGAGACCTTGCTGGGAAGAAAAGGGGTGAAAGGACTCTTGCTGGGGGGGGCATGAGAAGGTGCCACATGGTTTTAGATTAACTGGCGATTGCAGCAGCAACACAGCTGATGGTGCTGAGAACTGAGGGGCTGCCTGAACCATGGACTTCTACTTCTTTTCCTGAGATACGGTACCCCAGACTGGACAGAGGGAGAAGAAAGGACTGCATTTGTGAGTATTCTAAAGGACTTGAGTATTTTAATGAAGACATTAAGTCATTAGTTTAAGTTTGTATAACTCTTTGAATAAATAATTCCTTTTCACCAATCTCTGGCATTGAGAGACATCTGTCCCTGGAGGCGGGAAGGCAAACCTAGTATGGGTGGGTGGATCCCAGGAGGAGAAAGGGAGGGCCCATTTGGTAATAGTGTATCATTCACCCTCCCAGGTCTGTTCTGTAACAAAACTGCTTTCCTTTGTCCCGTCATTTCTCCACAAATTTATTGTTTTTTGTTGAAGATACTGTGATCTTCAGAAAGCTAAGCCACCAATTTGAGCTACTTTTCATTTTAAGTTTCTTTTGTGTGATGTGGCTTAGGCTGCATATGTCAATACACTGTTTTTCTTTTAATCTTTTTGTTAGAATCCCATCTAAAAACCTAAGATGGGTAGAGGTAAAATTTTACCTCTGCTAGTGGTATGATAGGCAGCTCATGAGTTTGAGAAAAGGAAAAGTTTGCAGTCACTACCACCAGAGATGTAAAAGGAAATCAAGGGATAAAATACTCAAGTTTATTTACCAACAGCTCAGAGACCTCTTGAAGCCAGAGCAAGAACTTTGTAGCAGAACCAGTGGTGCTGGTTCAACAGCCCAAAGGCAGAGTGGAGGAAAAGTCCTTGTAAATTTCCCAAGGACTAGAAATTAACAAGGCAGATACTGACAGAAGTCCTGATGGGATCTATTAATTCCCATTGAAAAATACCACAAACTGATTGGTAAAACCACAGAAATTTATTGCCTCAGATTTCTGGAGGCTAGAAGTCTGAAATTAATGTGTTGGCAGGGCCACGCTCTCTCAGAAGTTTCCAGAGGACTCTTCCTTACCTTTCCCAGCTTCTAGCAGCTTCAGGCATGAAGCAGCTTCAGCTTATGATAGCATAATTTCAATCTCTTCTATAGCCATCTTCCATGTATTCATATGGCATTTCTTGTGTGCATGTGTATACAAATTTCCTTCTAATTATAAGGATACCAGTCATGTTGGACCAGTCCCAACCTAATGACCTCATTTTAGTTTCCCAATAAGGTAATATTCACAGGTAGCACTTCAACATATCTTTTCAGAGGACACATTCAACTCATAACAGCAGATATCTTGGAGGGTTGAGAACTAAGCAGGAATCACTGAATGGGGGGGTGCTCTTGTCTGAAAGACAAGTCAGAATGGGCTGGGACAAAAGAAGGGGAAGAAGAGTTAGGGAGAGAGCTGAAAGTTTTGAAAGAAGCCTTGTTAAATCACTGCCAAAAAAATCAATTGCAAGTCTGGCAGGAAACACATTAAAATGTTAGTATTGGTGGGATCATTGATGACTTTAATTTTTTTACACTTTATACATTCCAAATTTTGTACAATAAACAAATTTTTTTGAAGACAATCATTATCTTTAATGTAATATTCACAATCCTCTGAGTATGTACAATTGAGAGTAGAAAGGTAAAGTGAAAAAAACATGTATACAGGAAAAAAACTTAAAATAAACAAAGATGATACTGATCCACAATCTGCACTCAATAAATGCTTACAAATAAAAGTTGATTTGAGATATTTACTCAAATCCCCCCCAAAATAAAGTAGAAAAACATGTAGAATTTAACCCCAACACTCCCATTTGCCAGTTAAGCAATAATGAGTGAGTTACTCCAAAAGTTTGTTTTCTCACTCGTAAAAATAGGATTTTAATTTCCATCTCACCGAGAGCTCTTACAAGATTCATATAAAAGCATTTTGTAAGCAGGCTAGCACAGTGTAAATACTTAAGTGTTTTTGAACATTTTCAATATATTAATGAACTTGTACATACAACATATAATTTTGACAAATGGATGGATAATGAACACGTGAAGGCTGAGACCTGGTCGAGTGAAGAAGAGGAAGAATCTGGGCAGAGTAAGGGAAGACTGCCTCAGCTTTCTGGTCCAGAAAAGTGAGGGGTATTAGTACTAACTGGAAAGAGGAATTACTCAACTGAATTGAATCTGGATTCTATAAATTTGTCAGGTTTCAGAAAAAGTGACATAAGCCTGAACTGTGGGATGTCCACACTATGTGCCTACAGCACCAGTTAGGATAGTTCAGACTGCAACTAACCAAAATGCAACTAAAATGGCCTTATACGAAAAGGGAGCAATAATCTCATATAACAAGAAACGATGCCAACGAACACCGTGTTTCTTCTTCCTTCCCAATGTTACTGTACCTTCCTCAATTTCTGCACAGCTGCTAACATCAGAAAGGGGGCCGTGTTCCCAAATGCCGCTTTTTAGAAGCTACAAAAACATTTCCCAGAAAGTTTCCCCACCTTGGAAAATTCCCCATCCTATCTCATTGGCCATAATTATCTCACATGGAACTGCTTCTCCTGACACATGCAGAGAGCACATACCAAATGGTTCAATTAGAAAGAACAAGGGAAAAAAAGCAGAGAAGTGGGGCAAATGGCTACTAGAAAGGCAACAACAGGGTCTGCCCTTTCTGTCCATGCACAGAATATACAGGGAGTTGAACAAAACATGAAACTGGAGTCTGAATGAGTATTTCTCATGTACTACAAAGGATCAGGATGTATACAGTGAAAGAAGAGGATGGGTGACCCTGGGCTGGGATATAGGCCGAGATTCTTGGGTAAGGAAAGAACAGCCTCATTTCCCACCAGTCACTGGTGGGAGGATTAAAGATGCTAATGGGCTCAACCAAAAAAATGGCCGGAGATGTGAGACAAAAGAACAAGAAAACGTGTGTATGTGCACTCCATCCACAGCATTGTAGAATGAGACATCCCCAGCCTCATAATCTAGGAAAACTCCCACTCGCTGAAGAGCTGGCTCTACACTGGTGGAAACTACAGGGTTACCTGTTAGGGGCCAATAGCAGGTGGAGCTCCAACAAATAGCCAAGATGCCCACATCAGGGGATATTTCTGAATGATTAACAATCTCCAGGACGTCCTCCCGACACACTCCCACAGCAATCACCAGGCCACTTTGGTTCTCAACTTCCCAGTAATATTTCCCTGAAGTAAAAATGTTTTTTCCCAAAACACTTGGTAAGTGTTGAAATCTCTTCACAGAATGCGTGGTCTGCTGAGGATTCCTCCGTGTGGTAAAGTAGTTCCATGCTGAAGAAAATACCGGCCAAGAACTGGCTGGTGTTCCATTTTGCATGTACCTCCCTTCCTGGGAGAAGACAAGTTTGGGGTGAGCTGTGTCTTCAGCTACACTGATAGCCACTGGAGAGAAAACGAGAGCTGAGATAAGTAACACAAGAGCTTACCACCAGCCCTCCTCCAAAAATACCCATCTTTTCCAATTTTGGTCCCATCCTTCTCCTCCTAACGAGTACAGTCAGGGATGAGCATCCTCGTTGCCTCTCAACTATTCATCAGGTGGGTCTAGTGGGCCATAGAATGGCCATAGTGAGCAACCTAAAATTCTCATTTTCCTTTGGCTCCAAAAGACTAACACCTAGAAAATGGGGAGCTCATTAGTTCATGGCCCTCACTCTTCATGATCAGCATAAACTTTGGAGAAACATTAATAAATTCTGACTTATTGAATCAGAACTAGATCAAGGCTGCTGACTAGCTGAATCATTGTATAGGTACACATGGATGTCGTTAACTAGGTTTCTCTTCACTTATTCCAGTTGTTCACTTGCCATCTCCACAGGCCCCCAACAAATAACTCAAAACAGAACTCTTTATCCTAAGTTCCTTCCCATATACTTTGGACTTGGCACCCCACAAATGCAGACACCACTGTCTTCTATGTTCTCTGAGGTATAAGAGTATTACCTCCACCCAAACACATTTGAAATCTTGAGATTATTCGACTGCTCTTTCCTTCTGACCCTCAATGACTAATTAATTCACTAAGTCCTATCAAATCTACCTCTAAAATATCAGTCAGGTTCTTTTCTCCTCTCCATTCCAACTGCGACAGTCTTTACCCAGACGTTCTTCAGCATCTTTTACTTTAACTGTCTATAACATCCTCCCTACCTCCAAATTCTCTTCCTTCCAACTCTCCATGCTGCTCTAGTTTGTCTTCTCTTTTTTAAATCAGGAATGGATATTAGGTTTTGTGCTTTTTTTAACATATTTTATTGATTATACTATTACAGTTGTCCCATCTTCTCCCCTTCACTCCCCTCCACCCTGCATACCCCCTCTCACCCACATTCCCCCACTATAGTTCATGTCCATGGGTCATAAGTTCTTTAGCTTCTCCATTTCCCATACTATTCTTACCCTTCCCCTGTCTATTTCCTACCTATCATCTATGCTTCTTATTCTCTGTTACCTCTTCCCCCCTCTCTCCTCCTCCCACTCCCCTGTTGCTAACCCTCCATATGATCTCCATTTCTGTGGTTCTATTTCTGTTCTAGTGGTTTGCTTAGTTTGCTTTTGTTTTTTTAGGTGTGGTTGTTAATAATTGTGAGTTTGCTGTCATTTTACTGTACATGCTTTTTATCTTCTTTTTCTTAGATAAATCCCTTTAACATTTCATATAATAAGGGTCTGGTGATGATAAACTCCTTTAACTTGACCTTATCTGGGAAGCACTTTATCTGCCCTTCCATTCTAAATGAAAGCTTTGCTGGATAGAGTAATCTTGGATGTAGGTCCTTGTTTTTCATGACTTGGAATACTTCTTTCCAGCCCCTTCTTGCCTGTAAGATCTCTTTTGAGAAATCAGCTGACAGTCTGATGGGAACTCCTTTGTAGGTAACTGTCTCCTTATCTCTTGCTGCTTCTAGGATTCTCTCCTTCATTTTAATCTTGGCTAATGTAATGATGATGTGCCTTGGTGTATTCCTCCTTGAGTCCAACTTCTTTGGGACTCTCTGAGCTTCCTGGACTTCCTGGAAGTCTATTTCCTTTGCCAGATTGGGGAAATTCTCCTTTATTATTTGTCCAAATAAGTGTTCCACCCATGGCTGTTCCTCTTCCCCTTCTGATACCCCTATAATTCAGATGTGGGAAGATGTCCTGGAGGTTCCTAAGCCTCTCCTCATTTTTTTTTTAATTCTTGTTCCTTCATTATTTTTTGATTGAATGTTTTTTTCTTCCTTCTGGTCCACTCCACTGATTTGAGTCCCAGTTTCCTTCCCATCACTATTGGTTCCCTGTACATTGTCCTTTATTTCACTTAGCATAGTGAAATATGCTAAAAATCTTCATTTTTTCATCTAATTTGTGACCAAATTCGACCAATTCTGTGAGCATCCTGATTACCAGTGTTTTGAACTGTGCATCTGATAGGCTGGCTCTTTGTCACTTAGTTATATTTTTTCTGGAGCTTTGATTTGTTCTTTCCTTTGGGCCATTTTTTTTTTTTTTTGTCTTGGCGCACCTGCTACGTATAATAAGGGGCTGAGTCTTAGGTGTTTACCGGGGCAGGGTAACCCATGTCTGTTTTGTGACACCATATGTGGGGGAGGGGTCCAAGAGGAAACAATGGCACTAGCTTCACTCTGTCAGATTTCAGTCACTTCCCCCACTACCCACAAGCAAATTGGGCCCTTCTGGTGCTGACTCCTGTGTGGGTGGTTTTGTGTACGTTCTAGGACCCTGTGGGTCTCTCCAACAAACTCCTGTGATGCTGGGAGTTTCTCACAAGTGTTTTCAGTTGGTGGTATGAGGTTTTATTTCCTCCTGCTGGGAGCGTGGGTTGTGTGGTCTGTCTTGCTCCCCAGTTCCACCAGGTTTATCTGTGTGCAAATATGGGACCACCAGGTCCACCTTGTGCACTGCGCCCCTCCAAAATCCTCCATCTCACTGGGCCTGCCAGCTACTACCTTGCAAGCCCAGGGTTCACCAGCCACTGCTTTGCCGAGACCCCTCTCCACCCAGCTGCCGTACTCTGCCCTCCTACTTACTGGTCTGAATGAATATGTCTTCTTTAACTCCTTGGTTGTCAGACTTCCATACAGTTCAATCTTCTGTCAGTTCTGGTTGTTTTTTGTTTCTAAATTGTTGTTGTCCTTATTTTGGTTGTGCAAGGAGGCACAGCGTGACTACCTACGACTCCATCTTGGCCAGAAGTCATATGTTAGGTTTTGACACAAGCTTTTTCTGCATCTACTGAATTGACCAGCTTTCTTTTTTTTACTTTGCTAAGTGGTAAATTACACTTGTTTTGTCGATGTTAAACCAACCCTGCTTTTCTGGGCTAAATCCCATTTGGTTGTGATGTATTATTCTTTTAATATGTTGTTGGATTCAATTTGTTAAATTTTAGAACTATTCTATGTTCATGAGAAACACTGATCTATATACAGTTCTCTTGTAATGTCTTTGATTTTGGTAATGCAGTACTCATAGAATGAATTAGGAAATGCTCTCTCCTCAATTTTTTTGTGAGTTATTGAAGAATAGATATTTCTTACATGTTTAGTAAATTCACCAGTGAGGCCATTTGGGAAGGGTTTTATTATTTTTTATTGTTGTTCAACTACAGTTGTCCCCATTTGCCCCCAGTACTGTCCCCTACCCTAACAATCCTCCACCTCCCACTCTCAATCCTCCACCCCCACTGTAATTACACACCAATATCTTTAATAGAAATTTAAGTTATTCCAGTTATCTATTTATTCTTGAGTAAACTTCAGTCATTTGTGTCTTTTAAGGATTTTGTACACTTTACCTATTGTACATTGTCAAATTTATCATCACAAAGTTGCTCATAAAATTTACTTATCCTATTAATATCTGTAGAGTTTGCAGTAATATTCTCTTATTCTTCACTTATTGACTTTATTGGGTGATATTGTTTAAAAAAATTGTATAGGTTTCAGGTATAGCCTCTCTCATTGTTGATATTAATAATAGGTGACTTGTTTTTTCTGGTCATTCTGGTTAAAGGTTTATTAAGAAAATCAATCTTCTCCTAAAAGCAGCTTTTGGTTTCATTAATTTTTCTACTGTTTTTCTGTGTTCCATTCCTTTGATTACTTACTTTATCTTCTTTTTCCAGTGTCTTAAGGTGGAAACTGGTCACTGATTTGAGACCTTTCTTTTCTAATATAGGTTAGTGCTATAAATTTCTCCTTAAATTCTAGGGTTATTGAGAAGTATGTTATTTAGTTTCCTAACATTTGGGAATTTTCCAAGGGTATTTTTGTTACTAATATCTAACTTAAATGCATTAGGATAAAAAAACATACAGTGTATAACTGAAATTCTTTTGAATTTAATGAGGTTTGTTTTATGGTCTACCTTGTTCTATCTAGTAAAAAAGTTCCAGGTATACTTTTTTTTTTCAAGTCCTCACCCAAGAATATGTTTATTGATTTTAAAGAGGGAGAAAGGGTGGGAGGGAGAGAAAGAGAAGAAAAGGGGGAGGGGGAGGGAGAGGGGGAGGGAAGAGAGAGAGAGAGAAACATCCATCGGTTGTTTCCTATGCACACCCCAACAGGGGACTGAACCCACAACTTAGGTATGTGCCTGGCCCAGGAATCAAACCTGCAACCATTTGTATATGGGATTAATGCTCCAGCCAACTGAACCACCCAGCTAGGGGTCCATTGATACTTTTTTAAAATCTGTATTCTGGTGTTCTATGTATATACATATCAGTGAGGTAAAGCTGGTTACTAGGGGTCTTCAAGCCTACTATATCCTTGCTAATTTTCTATTTGTTTAAAAATTATTGAAAAAAGGTATTAAAAGTCCAGCTATAATTGTTGATTAGTCTATTCCTCCTTGCAGCTCTATTAAATCTTTGCTTAATGTATTTTGAAGCTATAACTAGGTGTATCAATATTTAGAACTCTATGTCCTCCTGATGAATTAACCCCACTATCATTAAAAATAACCTTTTTATCTCTGATAATGTTCTTTGCCCTGAAATCTTTGATATTAATATAACCACTCCAGATTTCTTTTGACTAAAGTTAGCATGGTATACTTTTTTCCACTGTTTTACTTTAAACATATATGGGTCTTTATATTTAGGGCATTTCTTGCAAAATATAGTTGAATCTTTCTTTGTTTATCCAATCAATTAATCTCATCTTTTAATTAGGATATTCAGACAAGTTATATATATTTATACACACACACTTTTTAATCCTCACCCAAGGATATGTTTATTGATTTGGGGGTGGAGGAAGCAAGAAACACCAATGTGAGAAACACTGATTGATCACCTCCCAATTACCTCCCATACATGCCCTTACTGGGGTTCAAACCTGCACCCGGGTACATCCCCTGACCAGGAATCAAAC